AAGTTAATCCAGATAGATATAATAAATGGAACGACTGATGTGTGCGCGTCGTCTAGCTTCATGTTTGCACACGAACTCGCACAAGTTCGCGCAAGTTCGCGCATGTTGTTTTAATACGGAACTTGTCAACTGAGTGGAATCATGCAAGTTCTCTGTTGAATGTAACAATTTTGTGCGCGTTTATATCATTTTTTTACAAGTTTTCACGTAGTTAAATCCCCCTAGGAATTTTGTTAATATTCAATTTCCATTTTATTTGGACCTTTTTAAACCAACTTCCATTTCTTTAGGAATTTTTTTTATTCAATTTTCATTTTTTGATGGTTGAAATGATAATCAGTTTCCCTTGATTGATAGAAATGATGTCTTTTGTATTCGATTTCAATATCGTTTTCATTTATTCTTGGAATTGAGTAAATTCAATTGGCTAAAATGTTGAATTGTAGTTTGAATTGAAGTGCGAATTGACGATCGAGTTGAACTTTGAATCGAACTGAATTCAATCAAACTTGTGAGTTATGCTCGCAGTTCCGGAAGTCACCCTTTGAAATTTTCCATCTTACGTTTGAAACGACAACGTTATGGTCATAAAAGAAGGTTCTACCAGAGCTTCTCTGGGACATATCAGTCTGATACTGAGAGAGTCTCTCAGAGAGACAGTCAAGTGTTGAAATTATTCTCAGCAAATGTTCAACTCAATGAAATCCGTGATAAGTATTTAAACCAGTCAATTTGCTTTGAGAACTTTGTTTCTTTTTGTTGATTGTTTCGATTTCGACTCAGGGTAGGATTTGATGTCAAGTGGCAATTTAAGATTCCGTAAAAACTCTTTTCTCATCATAAAATTGCACTAAAACCATTAATCTCTGTCGAAGGTCGATCACCATCGTATTGAATGATTCATTCCTTGGATTGGAGATATGCATTTCCATTCAAATTGCTTTTTACATTCAAAATAAATTACATTTATAACACCGCACAACCATATCCATTAACCAATTCCAAATAGAGTGTCAAATGTGTATTTCGAATGTGGATGTTGTCGAAAAACCAAGCGCAAACATATCCATCGCATGCGAAATTCGTAAACATCGAGAGAAAAAAAAACCCATTTATTTGTTTGCCGCGCGATAATTTATCGATTATTGCGGCGTGTTCAATTAAATGGGCGAAAAAATTGCGGTTAAATAGCAAGCTGTCATTGGACTTCCATATATATCTTTCTCTCACTATATAAAAATGAACCATTTAAATGCGGTGTAATCAACTTCTTTTGTTTTCGGCCTGTGTAGTGTATGGGAGCCTATATTCGAGAAATGTATTGAACTTGGCTTACAAAACATACAGTACACTACAACGACGGCGACGGTGGCACTGACTGACGCATTAACGTCGCTTTTGTTTTGATTCTGGTTCGTTGTTGTTTTCGCAATTTTTCGATGATGGCACCCGATGAATGGCTTTTCATTCTTCACACTTCACACAAACGGAAAAAAACCAGTACTTTTTTTCGTAAAAATAGCAATTCACTTTTGTAAACAGCTGTTTTAGCGAACACATACACGTGGAACGCCGCGTAAAAATGTTGTCAATAATAATTTGCGAACCGTCTCCACTTGAGTGTTGGTCTGTCTATATAGACTTTTGACAACTTCACTTGTTGAATTTAATGTGTTTTTGCTGTAAGCAAGCATGATGTTTTTTTTTCAATTGAATAAAACCATTTTATTCCTTTAGAATTTGAATATTTTGAGCTTAAATATTTGTTTTCATCAGATATTTCTCCGAATTTTGATCAAACAAAAAAAAAATATTCCATTGAAATGCAAAAAAAAAAACAAGTCAAAGTCAATACGACAGTACATTAGTACGAACACATGAACTGAAGTGTTGACGTAAAACATTTGCTCACTTGTTCACAAACAAAATTCGCTTAGATTCGATTTATTTTAATTTAAAAAAAAATCTAAATCCGAAAATAATGCAAAAATATCAAAACAAATTCAAAAGAAAGTCACATTTCTTGGGATGGACAGTAAAAAAAAAATTTCTGTCAGAAGTGGGATTTGAACCCACGCCTCTAGAAGAGACTACGAATCTCAGAACCCTGAACGTAGCGCCTTAACCTCTCGGCCATTCTGACTTATGATTGTTACGGCGTCAGTTCGTATATCAACCGATATACGATATAGAACTCATCGCATCAACGTGAATGCGTCATTCGTCTTATCTTTGCAATAAACAGCCATCATACAAACACATTGTGTAGTACACAATGTGTACAACAACGCTGTACTACCGCATGGTTCTTATCGAATTGCCTTTTGAAATGTAATCGTATGGAATTTGTTTTTTTTCTACTTCTGTTTTTTTTCAGTCGGCATTTGGTGTTGCATTGCAATCGATAGTTTTAGCATGCGAGGAAATAGAGACAATTGCTTAATAACACAGCACTCATTAGCATTTAACTAAACAATAGAATTTAGACATCACGCATTTTTGACACGCTTAGCAACATTGAGTTACTTTGCTCAACAAATTTGTTTTGGAGTACAAAAATATGAATCGTGTTTACTTTTCAACAGAATTATTATTCTTATTCTTGTACAGAATGGTTGCGATATTTTTTATTTATTTAATAATCAATTAGAATTCAAACTTAAACGTGTTTATTTTCAATCAAGAAACAAATCCATTAAAGAGGAAAAAAAAATATTTCAAGAAATAAACTCATTGAGACCAAAAACTTAAATGTTCTGTCAAAAAATCCAAATGTGCTTCAATTCGCAGAAGAAGAAGAAGATGATGATGAAATGAAAGAGAAGTTTTTTTTTCTATAGAAAAAAAATGAGCAAAATATTGTTGACTTCTGCAAAAATTTGTTTGAATCATTTTTTATCGAACCACAACCGAAAAGAATCAAACAAAACCAAAAGTGGCTGTGAAAGACTGACTTAGTTGCCAACAAAAAAGGAGAAACTCATATTTTGTCTACTACAACCAAAAATCATGGTCACCAAAAAGTGCTCTTCAATTAATTACTCGTCGTTCAACACTTTGTCATAAAAAAATGAGAACGAAAAATCCGTCTACAATATTTCACAACAGTGCAGAACAATGCGCAACAACAAAAAAAAGTCTGAAAATTGCAAGTGAATTTCATTTCCGATTTGGAATTCCGCCCAAACTTCTATCAACATGTTTTTCTCTGGTGCAACTAATGTCATCTTGGGTAAATTTATGTGTTTTGCATAAATCATTGTAGAACAATGCTTACTAAACACTGAGTTCTGGATGAGTGTGGTGTTTTTGCATTGTTTATATTTCGTTTGGTTCAACTGATTCATTGCGTTATCAGTTCAATTCATAATTGAATAAGTTTTTTTCTCTCTCTGGCTATCTGTTTCTCTTCGTCTTTCTCCCTCTTTTGAGAGGATGGTGGGAAATTTCATTGCGAAAATGAATCTTTGGGTTTTGTATGCAAAAAAAAAAACTATGAATATTCTTCTGTTAATGAAAAAAAAAAACTGTTCATGTACATATGTTTGAATAGTTCACTGAATTAAAATTTGAAGTCAGAGGTGAATTTATTTCAATATGTCATTCATTTTGATAAAATTATTCCGGAAATGATATTTATTTTTGGTACATATCAAACAGTAGTAGGAGTTTGTTACTGTTCTTTATTCCTTCTCTAATGTTCATTGACTGTTTACCAAGAAGTAGAAAATGCGATTAATTTCGTATTCTGAGTGCAAACTTACACTGAACCATATGTGTAGCATGAATAAAGGTCATGCACACATATGCTATTGTGATATGTATTTTTGCCGAAATCTAGATGGAATCTCAATGAAGTTGAATCACTGTTCTATAGATTGCTTAACATGTGTAAATATACGTTTGTATGGTGATGAAACATAAAATCTCCATAAAAATGACTCTGCTTCGTTATTAGTCAGTCTAAAGAGTTGTAGTATATAGCAGTATCTGCCGGCGAATAGTGTTCATACAGTTAAAAAAAAACTGTCTGTAGAGAGCGGCCGTCTACAACAGCATTAAAAGAAATAAAAAGTACGATTTTAAAGTTTATAATTGCTGTGAAATTTAAAATATTAGAACGACAAAATTTTCCAGGCAAAAATATCGAAAACAAATAATTGTCGTTTTCATCGAGTTCTACCTTTGGATTATTTTTCATTGAATAATTTTAGTCTTTTTTGTTCTTGGAAGACAATTCTAGCCTTTGACCGGATTTTTTTAACCGTATGTTCTCTTTCAAAGGCCAAATAATTCGAGTGTTTCAATTAAGTGATATCAATCGAAGTATCAGAACATTCTTTTCAGTTTTCAGTACATTAGAAACCATTTGATGTGGACACTGGACAGTCCTTGTGTAGCTTCACAGACTCAACTAGTTGATAAAGAAAAACCAGAAAAAACTTAAAAAGTTGAAAAATATTAAAATAGTCTATGAACCATATATATGAACCATATATATGTATCACTCACTCAGTAATATTATCACTGTTTCGAGCTATTTTATAACGAGTATCACAGCCGGCGACAGCAGGCGTGAGTGACAAAAGTTGACATTACGAGCTAATATAGAGATATTTACCCGCAAACGAAAACAAAATGCGTTGAGTCATTGAATCTCATTTTTGTATGAAAAGATTTTAAAAGTTCTTTCTCATTTTAATGTCGATTCAACTTCAAGTAGACGACCTGGATCCAATTACTTAGCTGATTCAGTTACAAATTCCGGTTAATTTCACAGTACCAATTAATATAAGAGACAATGACCAATTGTTGCCTGGCAATAAACAATCAAACATATTGTCTCATTGTCCCTTTAAAAATGATTCTAATACCAATTTGTTTTTTTATTTTAATCGTATTTTTCTTCTCTTTCAATTTTCGATTGTTTCCATTCAAATTTAATCGCTTTGTCGAATTTTAAAATTCTAATTCCAACTATTTTTCTCGTCTAATTCCAGACCAAAATTGATGCGTACAATCGAATCAAAAATCAAATTAGCGTATTGGCTGCATCGTGTGTCGGTGATGGACGAGACGACGATTGGTCGTGGAAATGTGTAGTCCAACGGAGAGCTACATTGTTTACATTGATTTGACGACAAAAGCGCATATCGGCAGGAAGTAAAAAGAGCAGAGCAGAGCAGAGCACAACGTGCACGACATCTAATCCAAACAATGGATCATACACGCATCGGTTTGGATTATATCGTTGAGAATCGTGAATATGTCATTAAGCTGGGAACTGCACTCGATACGACCAATGTAACCGTCAAGAAGCAAGTGTTCGAATTGATGTCGGCGTTGTGTGCATACAACGTTGATGGTTACACACGAGCCCTAGAAACACTCGATCATTATCAGGTTTGGACAATGAAAATCAACATCACGATTCGACGATTTTCAACGGCCATTCAATTAACGCTTTTCGTTTTTTTAATTTTAATTTTCATGATAGAGTTTAAAAGGAGCACGATATCGTCTTAAAATCATTGTCACCGAACTTGAAGCACCAAACACATCAATCGAATATCAAGTAGCGCTGTTATCATTTGTAAATTGTCTTATAAATGCAACACAAGGCCTGCGCGAGAGAATACGCATTCGGAATGAGTTTATTGGTGAGTTTTCGTTTTTCGTCTTTGGAGTGAAACTTTTTTACTTTGCCTAATTAAGAAGCAATTGGATTTTGATTCATGCGACAAAAAGTGAAGACGGAAACTCTTTTTTTGAGGACACTTTGATCTAATTTCACTATTCATTGGCCTTTGTTCTCATTGGATGGAAGCCAAATGAGTTTCATTGAAAGGTTACTCTTTCAGCCCCAAACTAGTTATTAAAATCCTCTTTTATGCGTCAATTTACTCCATCTTTCGGAGAGATTTTTCCCACTTTTTTACTCTCTTCAACACGCTTCCCATTTTCTTTTACCTCATGGATGTCAATTGCCTATCTAGTTCTAAAAATAACACTTGTCTCATATCAACGAGCTGACGCTGACATTTAGTTACTGCAGGCAATGCATGAATGATGCATTTTTATGCAAATTTTATGTGAAAATCCACTTTGCATCGTAATTTCGCAAATATTCCGCCATTAAAGTGCATTAATTGAATTCAATCGACAAAATGGCACGCGTAAGTGCTTGTATACACGACTAATCGGCCAAATCAAGTGCGAAATAACGAATAAGTGTTCTTATCCATTAAGGTAAATCATAATTCTTTATTTATGAATCGATTTCTTGTGTCGCGTAATGAGTTTATCGAGAATCTTGATTCAAGTTTCTTATTTACTTATTAGTTGTGAAAAACATTGACAAATAAAGTGATTGGAATAATCGACACGAGCGCGTAAAAAACTACTCTCGTTAAAATCAGTCTCGTAATTCATAGCGTAATTACCCTATTACTATCTATCAATGACATCATCGTCATTATCAAGATGAAGTGAAGCAAAATTCTGTTCAAAAAACAAGTCACTTGATTCCTGAATGCCGTGAGATTGCAGTGAATCATTGTGAAGCGATTTCCGTTCTTATCCAGTTCTTCTTCAAAGTATTTCGCTGTTTTGCCAATATTCACTTTATCCTCTATTTACATCGCCTTTATTATCGATTGCATTGCCGATCGCTGTAAACTTGTATTCTCCATTTGAGCAGACGCTTTTATTGCCCAATAAATTACGATTTATGCATTGAGTTTCGTCTTCAGCATCTATAGATTGTGTATTAAATTTATTCTTTAAATACATGTTTTGGTTTTCTTACAGGTCTAAAAATACTACCGATTCTGACGAATATAAGGTTTGTATCGACGCGTGAGAATTTTCAAAAAGATTTTTGACGTTTTCAAAGATATCGATTTGAAGAAGATTAGCAGTTTTTAGGTGTTTTTTGTGGTAAAAAATGGTTAAGATTTTGGAAGAGGAGTCAATTGATTATTGTGTGACTCATCGATGTTTTAAAGGCACTTCCTTTCAGTAGATGAATTTTAAGAACTATAAAATAAGTGCTAATGCTCATTGCATGTTCTCTGGATGCTTAGGCATTCAATTTTTCATTCAAAATGATCAATTTTTCAAACATTTGATAGAAATTGAGTTAACGAAGGTAATTGTTTTGCGAAAAAAAATCAATGTAATGTAATTCAGTCTTAAAAAGTCGACGTTACTGATGATTTCAATAGAAGGAGAAACAAGCAAAGCAATTCGAGGATGTTTTTTCTTTTAAATATGTGTGAAACCAATTCCAAAACATGATCCGCTTCGAAATCGATAGGATTGGCGGATTGACATGATAATCGGGTTAGGAAATGCAATTAAATGTAGAGGCATCAAAACAAAAATTGATTTTTTATAGATGCCGTAAGACTGATATTTCTCAATAAAGAAAAAAAAATCGATTGAATATATTCGATATATGTCGATTTTCTTTATTACTATCCCTAGAGACGTTTATGTCACCTGAGTCAGTGCAAGTCTCACAACTCAATAGAAAAAATAAAGTAAATGAGTCTTGTGAATCTGTTTGAAGGGCCTTCAATGAAGGCTCGCGACTCTTTCACAAGCCTTTCATATTCAAATATAAATACCATACGGTTAGTGCAAAAGCATTTATTGCCTCACCTAACGCGAGCGCCATCTGTTCAGTTTAAACATGAAAACAAACAAATTGATCCATACAGAGTTATAATACAACAACATCTCTATATAGAGGAAACGCTGTGGTTCGTTTTGTTCGGCATATTTTTTATACACTGCCCTCATTTCCACCGATTCATATATCGATTGGCAGCTGGAGTCAATTTGTTTGTGTTCATTTTCGCACCGAATAGATGGCGTTTGCGTTAGGGAGAGCAAAAAGTGCTTTTGCACTAAAGGTATGATAAATACACACTGAAAAAGTCGTTATGCTGTAGTTACTCATTGACGCTCATAAATGTATGGGCTAAGCTGATTTTTGGACGACATGACGACAATCAGCGTGTGCATAACTAAAGCATAACGATTTTTTCAGCGCGTGTTTATATTTAATTCATGGATTTGCAAATCACGGAACCAAACTATTTGATTAATTCTCCATTTCTCAAACTATTTGGGTACATAAAATTCCGACCTGTCAGTTCCTTGCATCTGATTCTACATTGGAATTATGCGACTCCCAACGATAAATAAACCTCTCGTACAATTCAGTCATTAAATTCTTTAAAACTTTCATAAAAATAAAGTTAAAAACGCGAAGTTCCGAAATTCGACATTCGAACCAAATCTACACCAATTTCATGGACAAAATGTTCATTGCCCTTCCAAAAGATGAGAATCTTTCGTCAAATAAAGAATTTCCGACAACTCAAAAAAAAAACTCTCTAAGAGAAGAGAGTCTCTCTTCTACCATTTCAATTCATTCTTTTAATAAACATCCGTTAAATGTTCAGACCATTCAATGTGTGTGTGTGTTGAAATTCCCACAAAACTGACACTTTCCGTATTAAAATTTCAAAATCCCCAGTATTGAATGACAAAAGCCTAGTCCTTTGAAATGTGATATGTATGAAATGCCGCCGCCAAAAACCGGAACAGCGCAATGTGTGTGTTTGTTGGATTGAGAACGTTCACCACATAAACGCTTTACTAATAACATTGTTTTATTTGCGGCGACAGTGATTGCTGCGGAATGGATCGATGACGGCGCGACAGTGACGTAGCACACAGCACAGCATAACCATAACAGCATCAATAATAAGTGGGCAATGAAACGGCAGCTTTTATCGTGTCGACAGCAGTGGTCAGAAATGAAATATATGAAATTCGCATGGAAAATCGTTGTGTAAATATTGATCATTGGATCAATACGATAATTCACATCGAAGCCGCCTGCTTTTTTGTTAAACTAAACTATCAGACTTGATGGCACACCCGATTTTTTTTATTTGATCAAACATTTTAGTTCGCCCAAATTTGATTCATCAAAGTAGAAAAAAAAGATGATTTTTCCTGATTGTAAAATGAACGATTTCGCTTCATTAATAGTCGAATATGATGATTGACAACGTTCGACTTTTTACTCTCAAATTAGTTGGGTTTTCTCTTTTTCTTTGCTTTTCTTTCCACTTCGTGAAAGGAAGAAAATTGTCGTTTCATGCCAATCTCAATGGTTTTATTATTCATCGTTTTTGTCCTCCTCTTCGATTCGTTCAATTTGACTCGTGATTTCCGTTCAACAAAATTGATTCAATTTCTTTCGCTCTGTCATCACCAAAGCCGGTAAATGTTGAACTATGTCTCCAGAACTAGCTGTGAACCGAATGGCACAGAAAACGCGATTGACTCGATGATAGCGTAGCAGGGCCAAATTAAATTCAAAAATAGTTCTCATTCCACATGGAAAGTGGAGTGAAATTAAATTTTCGGTTAAAGTGGTGCATTGGTGCGCGCGCACCACGTGTATTGTTCGTTGTGGTTTTTTTTGCTTCTCCAGTCACACTCATAGCCGAATAGTCTGTCGATGTGTGTTGTATATACACAGAGAAAGCATTCTACCATCCCGATCCAGCTGTGTGCTGCACATATATTGCCCGCGGTACACAAAACTATTACATAAAACTCAGAGAACGAGAGAAAAAAACGCGAATCCGTCAAAAGGATGAATCGTTCTGTTCGGCAAGAAAGCTCATGCGAAGTGAGAAGCTTGTAGTCGGGCCAGAATAATCGGCCGAGTATGTAATGAAAATCCGATGTCAACTCTTAATTACACATAAAAAGTCGTGTTAGACCATTTAGAACGTCAATACATTCATTTCAACCACAAATTTATCTCACTTCATTCGTTTTGTGCAGTCGGTGTGTGTGGTGCACTGTGTATGCATTGCGATTAGTGTGAAAAGTGCAACTAAATATCGGGTTTGAACACTTTTTTGGCGAATAGTTTTCTTTTATATTGAGTGAAACCTACTTGGATATTCGTAGGCAGAATTCGTAGGTATAAACAAGAATTCAATTCATTCCGCACACGAATTCCATAGCGGAAATTCTCTATCTGAACATTTTCTGTGACACACACAAAGGTCAAGACTAATTGAAATGAATTTCGTCGAAAATGTGTTGGGTCGATGACGCGATGAGTTTGTCAACAAAGAAAATCGGTGTAAAAGAGAGACGTGTCAGCGTTAAGCTCATCGGAAATCGATTGCTGTTTCCATTGAAAGTGTCTTTCAATAATTCAAGTGTTTGTTTTTCTTGGCAAGTGCACACACAGTGATGTGTTTCTTATGGCTCGGTTCGGATTTATGGTTCAAAGACCTCGACAACCATATCGACAGCTTTACTTCGAAGTGTGCGTGAAGAATGAACGAAAGATTTTTCCGCATACATTTTCGGTGGCAGTGCAAATATTTGAATTTTCCAACTCGGCAGGCAATCACGAATCGCATGGCATATGGATATAAAAAAATTGGATGAAAAAAGGGTCAATTGAATCGGAACAAAAGGCTTCGTCGAGACTCGTGTAAATTGAAAGAAGTCGAAAATGGCATGCATTTTTCATGATTACACGTGCTCTTCGAAATTGCTTGCGATCGGCAGCAGCTTGGCACTGCTCGCTGCTTGGCAACGGCACCGAAAAGACTGAAAGCTAATAAATCAATTCCGAAACAGACAATCAAGTGTTAGCATAAAAAAATGACACCTTTCAGTTTCAAACGGCAAATTACTACGTTTGTTTGACCTACCTCAACAACGGTGCACCTTTTTTCTCTGAATTTATCTTTCGTTTGCTGCTTTATTCCAGATTTTGATGTATTCTCCCTTGAATCGCCGCAAAAAATACATCATAAAATCAGGAATAAAGCAGCAAATGAAGAAAATGATATTGCTTCTCGCTGACTCAAAATTATACGGTTCAACCGAAACGGAATCGGAATGAAGAGAGAAGAAAAAAAGAGTATTGATTGTAATCCAACGGAATGTTTGGCCGTTGTTATTGTCTCTACTGAATTATATTTGCGCAACGAACATTTTTTTATTGCATACAGAGCGAAGCACGATGTACTCGAGAGGCAAAGAGAGAAAGAGAGATAGAGTATGAGAGAAAAAGAGATAGAGAGAGAAAGAGAAGAAGACAAAGTAAACATTGCGAAAATAAAGAATAAAATAGAGAAACGGTTGGATAGAGAGAAGCAAAATAGTATAATTCATGAGCTCGGTGCAATTATTGTATGGGCACACGGAATTGTAATTCCCTTGTAGCACACACGTTGCATTCAATTGGATTGAATGCGAGAAATGAGTGAGTGTCAGTGGCCTGGTGTGTGCATAATAATTGTTGTTGGCCATTTGCCGTGCTGCTGCTGCAATACACGAATGCCGCATTCCAGCTCTACAAATGTGTTGTACAATCGATTGACATCCTCTCATTTGCCACACACGTTAAAAAAAAACGTGTTTCGATTGTTTTAGCACAAACATTTTTTTTTTGGATTAGCAAGAGAGAGAAAAAAAGCGGCTTCCAAGACGACCAAACAAACTTTTAAATATGAGCCGCTGCATTGAAATCGATTTTTAAAGTTTTTTTTTTCAATGACACCGACAAACTTTCTCCACTTTTGACACACATTTGGCGAGTCACAGGAAGTTATTTAAAAAAACGCTCCTTTTTTCCATGTTTTTTTTTCGTTCGCCTTGAAAATGTTTTAGACGAGTATCGGGTGACAATCCAAATGTCGCGGTTCAATTGGACGTATTCGATGAGCAACGCGAATGTGACGAGGCACAAAGCCTCCAGGGACCCAATGACATCAATCTAAATTCACATTTGGACGTGTTTTACACAATTTTAGGACAGGTAAACAACTTTTGAATCTATGAATCAAACAGGTTTTCATTAAACATTCATTTTCCGCGTGCTTCGCGTGCAATTGCTTCGAATTAGGTCGCCGATACACCACAAGAGATTCCATTTTTGAGTATTCTACAGCATTTACTGCGCATCGATCCAAAGGAAGCGATTAGTGATATTATATGGGATTGTGCTGAAACGCTTGTGCATCGAGCCACATTGCTGGAGAACCGTGAGGATTCAACACGTTTGCTGCGAACGCCAAGCGTACAGAAATTCACCTGTTCACATTGTCGCAACGATATTTCTAGTCCAAGCCGAAAGCAATCCATTGCACCAGTCACACCAACACATCCACTGGCGCTTGTTATCCCATTGTCACCAACCAGCCCCGATTCAAACGTTGATTTTAGCTCAAAAGTACCCAAGCCACCACCTCCACCACCACCAATGGCGTACGTTGTTATACAAGCTACGACTTTTTTCCCTTTATGACTTGTTTTAATCACTTTGTTCTTTTCTTCACAGTGGCAATCTTCCCTCAGCTTCAAACTCGTCGAATCCAGCTCCAGCTCCACCACCACCAGCATTTCCAAGTAAGAAATATCCCTCAATGTTTTTTTTGTTGCATTTTTTTTTATCAAAAGTTTAAACCTTCAAATTTTTTTCTCTCAATTTTTCCATCCAAACAGAGACACAACGGCCAAAAACCCCGGAAATTGTTGATCTCGGCAAATTGTTGCCGCAACAAGAGACGCCCGTACCGAAAACCAAAATGAAAACCATTAACTGGAACAAAATTCCATCGAATAAATTGATGGGCAAAACGAATATTTGGACTCTAGTGGCGAATTCACATCAAAATAGTCCAATGGCCGAGCTGGATTGGAATGAAATGGAGGGACTGTTTTGCCAGCAAGCGACAAGCACACAAAATTCACCGAAAATGGGAGCACGAGACACATCATCCAACTCAGCTGAAGGATCGAATGGCAGCGAACGAAAATCGAGAAAGGAAAACTCAGAAATTACCCTGCTCGATGGAAAGAGGAGCTTGAATGTTAACATCTTTTTGAAACAGTTTAGAACGTGAGTTGAATATCAATGAACAGTGCTCATAAAATATCATGAACAATAAGAACATCAATTTAAGTTGAAAATCGTGCATATGATTGCCTTTGATATATTCTATACTCTTTGATAAAGATAAATTTTCTTGATACTCCAATTGGTGTTGACATTGAATTTTAGTTCGATTCATTTGAATCTTTTGAAAAGTACATTTTTCAATACAGAAGAAAAAAAAGTAGTGAAAAATCAAGTCGAAAAAAAAACTGATGAAATACTTTGACATTACAGAACCAATGAAGAAATCATTCAGCTGATAAAAGACGGTGAGCATGACGATATTGGAGCGGAAAAGCTACGTGGGCTATTAAAAATATTGCCTGAAATTGACGAGCTGGATATGTTAAAGGCGTTTGATGGAGAAAAACAGCGATTGGGAAATGCGGAAAAATTCTTGATGCAACTTTCAAATGTTCCCAAGTAAAGCGAAGACCGACTTATTTTGAACTTTTTTCTGTCAAAGTTTTGATTTGAATAGCAAAAAAATAATAAAACAGACAAAAAAATAAATGAAAACTAACAAAATTCCCAATTCCATTTTCAGTTACAAGCTGCGAGTGGAGAGTATGTTATTGAAAGAGGAGTTTGCGGCAAATTTAAGCTATTTGGAGCCAAGTATTAACGCAATCATATTTGCTGGTGATGATTTAATGAACAATGTGCAGCTGAGAGAAGTACTGTACATGGTTGTCGTGGCAGGAAACTTCCTGAACGCCGGCGGCTATGCGGGAAATGCAGCCGGAGTGAAGTTGGCATCACTTCAAAAACTCACGGATATTCGTGCCAATAAGCCGGGCATGAATCTGATTCATTTCGTTGCACTTCAAGCTGAGAAGAAAAATCCAAATCTACTGGCATTCGCCGAAAATCTAACGGCACTGGAAAATGCATCGAAGTGAGCTAATTTTTGGGCTGTGAAATTATTTTGATTTACTAGTACTTTAGTCGACCTTTTTATCTCGATTATTTTTTGATTATTTGATTCTTTTCCCTTCAATAATCTGTTCTTTTTTATTCATATTCAGCATTTGCATTTTTCATCAACTTTGAATCAGAACGTATCTCTTGCTTCGGACATTCTTTAGTGTGCTTTGAATATTTATTTCCTTTCCTTTTTTTCTATCCTTCATTTTCCAGGACAACGTCAGAGCAAATCACCAATGAGATCAATGCACTCGATACTCGAATCACGAAGATCAAGCGGCAAATCGAATTGTCAACAACCGAACCCGATCTGAAGTATCAAATGTCTGACTTTCTGCAGGCGGCCGAGAACAAGGTGCAAATGTTGCAGCGTGGAATGAAAGAAGTCGAATCGCTTCGATTACAATTGTCTGAATTTTTCTGTGAAGATCCAAAAACATTCAAATTAGAGGAGTGCTTTAAAATATTCCAAACATTTTGTGAGAAATTCAAGCAAGCCGTTAACGAGAATGAACGCCGTCGATTGCAAGAGGAGCAGGCAACGATTCGTCGCAAGCTTCGCGAAGAACAATTGGCGAGACGAGCGCGACAAAGTCAAGCTGGCACTCCGGTTTCCGATTCAGACAATAGTTTAATGTTTGACTCATCACAGTTGGACATTAGAGCAAGTCCAGCATTGGCACGACGGCGAATGGGCTCATTTAATAGCGGGGCAGAATATCGAGATGATGGTTTTTCACCAGGTGCGTATTTTTTTCTCACTTTCACGTTATATTTGATTAAATTTAGAGTAAATAATAATTCATTGGTTGCCATTAAAAATTAACTCCAACAATAATTTCCCCTCAGATATCACCCCAACCGGAAGCCTACGACGTCGTCGAAGTCGCGTTCTCAGTGAAGAAGATGACAATAATCTGATGGATTTCTTACGATCATCTGCCAATGAAAATTCACGAAAATCCTCATCATATGGCAGCTTGGATCGTTCGTGGGCACGTCGAGCTCGGTCAGGTAGTAATAGTAAAAAACGACCAGATCTACTTAATATCGATTTCAGTTTGGAACGAGAGCGTCCTGTATCACCGGCCAATATGGATGCGGCCAACCGTGTGGCAAACGAAGACGCAAGACCAAGGTATAAATTCTTGTCACCATTTATCTACCTTTCACACTTTTTGTTCTATTTTTTGCACCCAATGCGTTCAGTAGTAAGCACATTTGGAAAGTTTTTCGTTCGATTTTAATTTTTTTTGGTTTTGAGTTTTTTACCGATTTTTATTTTGGTTCGACTTTTTCACTTTGCACAGTGTGCAATGCACACCCACAAAGTGTGTAGAAGAAAAAGTGATGATTTTTCCAAAAATTTTGGTTTTGATTTCGGCTCTTGAGTAAGTTAACCACCAAATTCACAGTGCACCAAATTTATTTCTGGACTAACTTATGATTTGCGTTGTTTTTGGCTAATTTTCACATTTATTTGGCACCACTTCTTTTTGCAAAGAAAAAAAAAATTCCAAACAAAACCACCAAAATTGTCAATAAATTAAATATGTGTCTTACTATTCGAACTATGTGTTATGCCTCCCTCCTCGTGTATTTCTGTGTGTGTGTTTCTCGCATCGATGTGTGAAAAATAATAGACGAATTTCCAGGGAATGGCGTCAAAAAATCGAATCATGGCTACAAGCCAACGAACAAGATGAAAAACAAGGTGATGAACACAAGCGACGAGCCAGACGATTGACAGGCAATCGACGTTCATATGAAAATGATTCAGGTTTGTGGACTACTTTTTTGTATTGCCAGTCTTTTAGGTTGTATTTTTTTTTAATTTCACAAAAAAAATTCATGGTTCGATATTCTTTAAGTTACTTTTTCTCTCTCTCCACCTCACTCTTTCTCTCCACCAGAAAACGAGCGTAGTAAATTGGATCCACTGCCCGAAGAGAAGACAGCCACCACTGGTGTACCAACAACAACGACACCACAAGCAAATGAGCCATATAAGCGTGTGTACGCCGATTGGAAGCCAACGACAACGTCCATCGAGCGAGGTGATTCGGAATCAACGCAAGATTCATTATCCAAAGAAAAAGATGACGTATCATCGAAACCAGAGAAAATGCGTGGATCGCATTCAACAACGAGCCTCCCATCAAGTACAACGCCGTTACAGTCGATAATGGAAGAGGATCGTCGCACAAGTCAAGAGAACCAATTGAAAATCAATATTCGTCGTCCATCTGAAGTGAATGAATACGAGCCCGTCTATCAAAAGCATACCAGTCCAGTGGGGATTACAAGTGATTCGCATTCGATATACATTCGTTCATCTGCTAAAAAGGCAGCCACTTCACCGGAACGCAGAGAAAGCATCACAAAGTGCCATTCGTTAGACGCTGCCATCGGCACCGCTGTTGGTCAAGAGCAGTTGCCATTGAGCAATAAAATCGAAATTGATTCGGATAACATTGAAACACCGCCCGTTGTACGCAAGAATATTATGAGTGATGATAAATCGAATTCGGTATCTTCAGTGAAGAAATTGCAGGCGCCACGTCCATTGCATCAGCGCACGATTGACGAGTCACTGGCCAATGAAAATGTGGAAAGTAAGCCAAACGATTCGGAAGTACTTGGAGATGGTCATTTCGATCGGCATTCATCGGCACGACGCACACGACGCTATCGTAGACCAACCGATCACAGTAGCGGCAATGAAGATCGTAACGACTCAAGCCCCGAATCAGTTCCAACTCCGTTATTTCCATCTTCGAATGCATTGTACAGCACAGAACTCGAAATCACAATCGATGACGATAAAGACGATGAATCTCCTGATCGTGGTGAAGACACACTATTAAAATCAAAATCCATGGATATTCTATCACGAATCGGTAAACATGGCCGTAATATGAGTTCCATTAATCAGGAAGCGGTTCGTGAAGCCATACGCAAACTAAAATCACCCACAGAAACACCTGAACGTATCTGGAGCCCACCACGTGAAATTGTTGTCACACCAAAAGACCGAATTATTCCTTCGAAAGCATTAAATCATGAGCTAAATGATGAAGGTTTCGAAGAGACACAAAGCTGCCAAAGTCTAGTCTCCGATGGAAAAGATAGTACATCATCATGCAATGAACCGGCCGATAATTCACAACCGCACATTTCAACGTCGTTAAGTCCAAACCAATCGAAATCAAAGTCCGTCGTAAAATCGTTGATCGAACGAAATCGTCAGAGTTTGGAACGAAGTCGATCGCTTCGAGCGTCCAGTTCAACTGTAACGCCACATTCACGAACGAGCATCATTCCAAAGAGGACTAATTCACTGCGGCGCAGCATCGACACCGGCGCAATATCGGCCAATAAACAAGATGTTGAACGAAGTGGCTCACGCACCAGTCTACGAAGCTCACGATCATCGCTAAACAGTTCGGCTTCAATAAATACCGTTCGAAATATGGGATTGAAACCATCTGCCACACAATCACCATCATCAACGCGACACTTATCGAATACAACCGCCGATAAATCATCACTGCGGAAAAAATTGGTTCAACAACAAAGTACACCATCGGCAAATTCACAAAAGACCACATTAAAAGGTAGCAATAGTGTAAATTCGTATCTAAGAACGCCGGCCAGTCGAAGTAGTTCGAGTGGTTCAAGTATCGGTGGACCATCATCATCGCGTCAATCGCATTACACAAAGACTTCTAGTTCGAATTCCGTTACACCGCCCATATCAAATTCACCGCAACGGCCCGCCTTTCGTAACACTGTCTCCGTATCGAATCACACGAATCAAAGCAACAGCGCCAATCGATCTAGTTCACGACTCACAAACCTAAAGGGCATTGCATCAAAAACGTCGAATCGTGTCAGTAGTTTCATGAGACCGACCACTTCCAGTGCAACTAAAGTCAATTCATCCAGCAATCGCAGCAAATAAACCAATATTGGGCAATTTTCACGAAGAAAATCGACACTTTTTTTTTAAATAGAAGTTAGGATGATGATTGAAAAGATACAATTGATTTTTTGTTCTGTTTTTTTTTATTAGAATTTTGCACACATTCCGTTCGCAATCGAACGCCGAATTGAAGCACACTAAAAAAAATATGCTTTTCAAGAACAAAAAAATTTTTTATTACATGTTAATTAATGGAAATGTAATTATACCAAATCGTATATCGTTACCTATGATTAGTTTTTAACGAGCATTTTTTTTTTCTATAAAAAAACATCTTTTTTCTTTCTGTTATTAACGACTCAATGAGTAATGAGAAATTTAAATCAACAAGCAATAAACAAAACCGTGCACTTCGACACAAATCAATCAAAATGTCAACACACCGTTTACCACACATCTTTTTCACATACACACACATGTTCATCACTACTCTATTTTGCTCCTTTTTTTAAATATAAATACCGAGGATCTGGTTTTTAAACAACTCTTTTTTAAAATACGTTGATGTGCTTACACTGAACTTTAAATTATTTTTCGATAATCAATAAAAAGAATGATTTATTTCACAAATGAATTTGATATGGGTTTTAGAAACGATTTTGTTGTTGTGGTTGCTGCTGTTGAACATGTTGTGCAAAGTATTCTTTGCGGAAACGACGAGCTATTAATGTACCAATTATTGTTCGCACTGTTACGGGCACCAGCTTGGAAGCGGCAAACTGAGGAAAAAAGAGGAAAAATGGAAAAATGTTAGAAATAAATAGGTAAGATTTACTTGGACTAAATGTAAGTATTCTGAGGGAGATTTGAGCTTGAGTTGAGTGAGATTCATTTTCAGTGAATGGCACGGTTTGAACAGTGTCCAATGGACACCTTTTTCAATTGGATTATTCAATTTGGATTGACTTTGATAGGCAAAATGCTAGAACTCTTGCCTTCTTCCAAACACTTCTGAAGGTATTTCATGCCATTATGGAGTTGTTTTTCTTAAGAATTGAAAGGAATAATCGGCGATTATTAATTGCTTATTTAATTTAACGGTTGCTATCCTCTTTTATGAGAACGAAACTTCGAATGGTAGAAATTCATCATTTTTATTCTGTTCATTAAGTAATGAATAGTACTATTTCTCAGATACCGAGACTCGGAACATTTTGAATTTATCTCGGAATTGACTGTAAGCATCATTGTTTTGAGGAAAATTATTCAATTCTGGGTAAGAAGGAAGGAAAGTTCACTACGATGTAGATTACACATTGGTCTCATATTTAACCTTGAAATGCCTTGATCTGTGTTCAAACATCTTGTTAAAAATTTATTTAAATGTTAAATGGACACGTGCGAATTTTTTTAGGTTCATCTTAGTTTTCTTGGAAATAATTCAACTAATAGAAAGCTTTTCTATTGAATTGGTTTGTTTGCTCAAAATTGAATTATACAGAAAGAAAAAATCTTCTAATTCGAAGCAGAAGTAGAAACAATTTTCGATCCAAAGAAATGAACAGTTTTTCCGAGCAAATGATGAGACCATTAAATGAATAATATAAACTGGGACAAGTCACGTTAATTCAGCGGTGATAAATCATCACTACAAAACATATATGTGTCACAGAAGAACATTGTCTAGAGTAGAGTAACGTGAAAACATGGCAAGAAAAACAGAACATCAGCAACAAACCCGAGAACAAAAAAACTGCCACTTAAACGTTATCCAAACAATCATCCATGTGTTCAATCTCACGCTCTTTCTTCCGTGCATTTTTCTCAAATAAATCGCGACAGATTTTTTTCACGAACCTGAACTGCATGTGACCAATAGCCGGTGGTTTCGCTTGATTTGCCCAATGTAAAAACGGCGGATCGGCCGTATGATTCAACATCTGGAGCGAATAAATTTCCATTCATCACCGTCGTCGAGTATGCATTCAGTTTCGTGCGTACAAAATACGGCGACAGTAGTTGCACATCAATGCCGTACGGTTCGCATTCATACTGCAGCGCGATGGTGAAACTTTTTATGTAAACCTGTAAATAGCACAAACAAAAAACGGTAGTAAATATACTAAATGGAGTCGTTTAAAAAGAAATTACATAAATACAAAAAAACAAACAAACGTACTTTGCTTGCAGCGTAAACCGATGCCAATGGTGCGGGCTGAAGCGCAGTGCCAGACGATATATTAACAATAACACCTTTTTGACGTTGTTTCATATCGTTGATCACCAATCGTGTCATCATTGTGGCAGCGGCCACATTTGTTAGCACCAAACTCCAAATAACATCCTCCGGCACGTTACCCAGCTCCTCTGGGTGTTCAAACATTTGCCCGACATTGTTTACTAGAAAATGAAAAAACATTCGATAACATTTCTATTGACTGTGAGATACACACCGAGCGATAATTGGTCAGGTAAATGATAGCAGCGAAACATGCCACCGGTCAAACAAGTTCAAAAACCTTGACCGTTTCTGATAAAATTCATTATCTCTTCACTTGAACGGTAACATTTGTAGAAATATGTTCTACCACACACGCATCGTGGTAAATATTTAACTTTGCGCCAGTGCATACGCTGTGAACCGTATTGATGTATTCTTCTTTTCGGTGAATTTTCATGTTTTCTGTTTGTTGTTGCTGTTGCTGTTTAAAAAGAGAATTATGAAGAGAGAAACTAACCTAAAATGCCAACTGGAATGGAGCTGAGTTCATGTCGAATGCGACTGTAAATTTCACGGCCTTTGCTAAAGTCAGCAATAATGTACCGTGTTTGTACCGGATGTAACGATTCTGTATACAATGGAACATACGTAAGTATATATATGTTGATACGAGGTCATTAAATGAGTTATCAGTTTTGTTTGAGAGAAAATGAATTTAAACCCAGTTTATCTGTTATATCTTAATAATTTGTTTTCAGATTATTTACTGAATAAATTCACCTATTTCTCGCGACACTTGTATCAATTTCGATTCATTCCGTGCGATAAGACAGATATTTATACCGCGCTGCGCCAGCTGCTTTGCGTACTCTTTCCCAATACCGTCTGTTGATCCAGTAACCACTGTTTAGACAATTAACACAATGTAAATCACAAATATGAGCAGAAAAAACCCAGAGAAAAAGAGAATTAAGATTATTAAAGAGTAAAAACTGCCGAATTTCATTCATCGTAGACTATGATTCGTAACTGTTAACAAGTTGAAGATGCTAACAAAAGACACACTAATTGTTTTTTAATTAGATTTCGAATAGCAACGAACGTGATATTTTGATTCTTTTGTCACGGTTTTCATCCAAAATTTGACGTACTAATAGAATGTGAAATATCACACGCGTCTCGTTAATGAAGACTACATTATGCATAACGGCGACCAAGTAGTGAAATAATAACGACTCAGTAATGTGTCTTCAATTTATGGCAACCGAACAAAAATGAACAATTGAATTCTCCGTACCTGCCCAATTACCGTAGCGCTCGCTGAGCGGTGGATTTTTGTCCGGTTGAATGTATGACGCAAATAAACTCCATAGAATTTGAAATAGTGATTTAAAATTATCGCAAAAATACCATAAAAATGCATACACTCCGACGATATAGAAAAATGTATCACCGAACATTTTGATGATGCGAAACAATTCTAGTCTAAAATGCAACAAAATTTTATCACAAAACTGGTGGTTTGGCACGGGAGCTTATAATTTGTTTATTTTTTTTAAATACAAAATAGATTTTCAATTTGCCAAGCAATCATATAGAATGAAACGGTTTATATGCAACATTGAATAGAAACTACAAAAATGCATGCAATTGAGTGTGCTAGGCGAAGATTGCGATCGACTCGCACGACGATACACACGACACTGAAATTTATTCATATTTCGATTCAACGAGTTTCTCTCTGCACTGTAAACAAACGCAGTGAGTGCGGATCGTCAAGCTAAAATGATCGTATATTGTTCGTCGCCGTCGCGTATGACGCCCTAGGGGCTTATGTGTTATACGAGTTCGCACGAATCAGGGCAAAGTTGTACAAGTCAGCACGAGTCAGTATGGAAATTTTGTATGGAGATTCGAATCATTTCAGAAAATGCACAGACTTGTGGACTCGTGAAACTCCATATAAAATTCCCATACCTTTTTCATTGACTCGCGAATCTTTTAGATGACACATAAGCCCCTCGACGACGGCTCACGCAAGCCAACTTGGAACTATGGTGCTGCTTGCTGCTGCTGCTCAAAACCACAAAAGCGAAACGATAGAAAACTGGAATGTCAACAATTGAGACTGACTTGAACGCGTATCACCTTTTCGGGCTCCATACATTCTTCTGTGTCTTCTCTTTTCTTCTTCTCTATTTCTTTTTGAAATTACTCGAACGCATTTTATTCTTTTTCAATGCACACGTACAGATAATGAATCGACTCGGCATATTCTTCTGCTGCTGCCGCTGCGCAGTTACGATTTATTACTTCTGTCTGGTTGACTTATTCGATGAAGAATATGGGTGAATTACTGCTTGCGTATACGTGTGGTTAGAACCATGAAGAGACGTGTGGGATGGATTCTTGAAAGAAACCAATTTTTTGAGGATTTTCACACGTGTAAATGAATCTTTTGGACATACAATTTTGGAGTTATTGTAGAATTTTGACTGTAATTTACACTTTTGGTTTGGATCTTGGAGTAATTATAAACTGATTAGGCGAAGTTTTATCATAGAACTTCTAAAAATGAAGTTTTCAGTTAAAATTCATCATAGCGATATCTAACTAAAAGTGGGAAAAGTTGCATAGTAGAAAATGTAATAATATATATACCATATATACACTATGGGTGAGACTGAGAGCAGAGTAAGTTTTTTCTTCGATTTATATTTTTGAAAAAAGCGAGAATGTTTTCTAATGATTCTGTTGGCGTTAAAGTGGAGTATGTTTACATGCCTTGGGCTGTCGCGGTTTTTCACGGTTTCCGCGAAACTTATAAGAGAAAACCACCTTCAGAAAAGTTGTAAGGGATCTCGAGTACTACAACTTTTGTTGAAAAGATCAAGTTGTTATCTCTTATCAGTTCCGAGAAAACCGCGAAAAATCGTGATGATCCGCAAAAAATGAACATATTCGTCTTTAACCATTTTTAAGTCGAAAGAAACTTACTCTTTCATAACAAAGTCAATGAAACATACACTACTCTCAATCTCACCCATAGATATGATATATGTATATATTGTGTCAAATTTGATGTAATGTTTCAAATGGAATTCTGAATATTTGTTGAAAATTGAAATTAAATTAATGTTATGTGACCTGACTACCATTGTTGTATGTTGCAGGTAAAAAAAACATGTAACATGACCGCACGCGCAATGCAAATGAAGCTGCATCAGCAGTTTTGGTTTGCAATTTTTGGCAATAAAATGGTAAAAACCAAATCGCTTCGCATATTTCTTTCATCGCTGCGGCGATTGGGCACCATTGTTTGACTACTGTATAAGCTCACTAAAGCCAAAGTCCATTCTAAAATTATAAAAGTTTTCTTGGTTATATTCTCAGTGCATTTAATGCAATAAATATTCCAAGACGATATTATCATGTAATTATTGTATTCTTGAAATATGCAAATCAATGTTCACGATACTTTTTTTTATTGTTCAAAGCGAATCATTGTGACTTCAGTTGCAGTGCGAGTTGAATCGAAAACTCATTATATTACGTCATTATCTGCGGCATTCAGTTGCTAACGTCGTTTGCGGAAGCGTATATTTACATTTATTGAATCATTTAGATTCTAAGCCGCAGAATATTTTTTTTTTTATTACACAGAGCCTATCGTTTTCCATGTGCTAGAAAGAACACTGAAAGTCGCTACTGAGGGAATTGAACTACTTTTAATTACTTAATTTAATTACTTATTTATATTGTAAGGGAGAATTCTCTCATTTGCATCCTCCTTCAAAAAGTATATTTAATGCTTTGTTTAATGCTTCTTGAACTCAGTCAATGACAGATAGCTGAGGATATATGCTGAGCATAGAAACTCAGTAAGCTCAGATTGGGACATTCTGACTTTATGACGTGTAGTCCATATAAATGCATGATGAAATGCACGAAATTGTATGCGTGCCATCATAAATTTGTATGGACTACACGTCATAAAGTCAAAATGTCCCAATCTCAGCTTACTGAGTTTCTATGCTCAGCATATATCCTCAGCTAGCTGTCATTGACTGCTTGAACTTCAAGCAGTGGTTTAGCTCGTAAGCAGCAATTTTACTTAAAAGAAAGCTGTTCAGTTTGATACGCATACAAATGAAATTTGGATTTTATCAGCTCTTGATTGTATTATGATTGTGATCAATGTAACGTGATAAGCAAACGTGGTGTTGATTCTGTTGCACGCTATGTTGATTTTAAAACTTTGAGACATACTGTCTGGCTGTCTAGTAGATAGTGGTTCTACGCGGTTTTTCGTGAATATAAGAATTCATCTAGCACTACACATCGATCGATTCGTAACTGTTTACATGATAAACATCATTAATTTATGCATGTTCAACTAACTTCGTATTCTAATCCCATTCGCAGTAGTGCTTTCTATAGATCTACTGAATCTATAGCTCTTATTTTTATTTAACGTAATCAACAATATCGACCAACTGTCTAATTCAATATTATTCTAATTATATATCCGATTAAATTACCTTATAATTGCTATCAAATCGATGAAGGATAAAATATTTAAATTCAACAGGGGACGAAGGATAAAGTTGAATTGAGCGTTTAGAACCTACAACAATCAAACTCGATTTTATTGAAATCCATTTTAAGTCATTCTTCGTCACACAGTAGTAAAACAGTCGCAGTATAACGTTGCATTCTTGTATGTTCGAATATTTTCTGCAAATAAACACTATCACAAACACACTTGCTCACAAGTGTGCACACAATTCTCAAGTGGAAAAAGTAGAGACTCACTTCACATCAAAATTTCAATGTGTAAACATTGCACGTTTGAAGTTCGTCAAATAAATAACGATAATTACAACAAGAGAAAATGATCGTTTCGATGATATGAACGAATATTGTTTAACTCGTTGAATTAGCGCCAATCTCAATGCTCTTGACAATGAAAACACACCATAAATTACCATTTGTCATTCATGTGAAGTTTAATTTTTTTGTATAGACTTCTGATAAACGATCACTTTAAACATTAATTTTTAATTGATATTCAACTAATTTTTCACGTATTAATTTTTCTTTTTAATTTTTCATGACGGTAATAAACAAGGTTTGAACTTTCAACAATTAAGTCAAATGAGTAATTAACTACAATACATTAAATCCGGAACTAAAAGTAATAATCGTTATTTTAATGAATAGAATGCACGCCAAGTTTATGATCTAAAATCGGTTTTGTTGTTGTTGAAGAAAATATTCACTACGGAGGCGTTTGTTAAGGAATCCAATCATTATCGATCGCAGCGTCACCGGTAGCATTTTCAGAAGCGCAAACTGAAAGTTGAAATGGTAATGAATGTTTAGAATTTGAATTGCACTCATGACGAGTTGGATAGAGAAGAGTTGGAATTATATCTGTCAATTCAAGTTTTGAATTGTATTCGTTAATGCGAATTTCGAAACCAATGTGATTGTTCTTCATCACAGATGAATCATCTGTGTACCTGAATTGCATGCGGCCAATATCCGGTGGTTTCGTTAGTTTTGCCCAATGTAAAAATAGCCGATCGTACATAGGTTTCTATATCGGGAATGAAAAAATTGCCGGCCATCAAACTCGTTGAGTAACTATGCAGTTTCGTTCGCACGAAATACGGTGAGAGTAATTGAACATCAATGCCATATGGTTCACATTCATATTGGAGAGCCATTGTAAAATTTTTCACGTAAACCTGTGGAATTTTAAGATGCAACAAATTCAGAATCTTCTTCTTGGTTTGAATCAGTTTTCTTGGGAAATGATAATGGGTTTGTTCGATGGATGTTTGAAAAGATTTGTTTGAAATGATGAAACGATGGATATTTGAAAAAATTTGCACGAAATTCCCGAGTCTGCACAAATAATTAATTGTCCGATTTAAAATCTGCAGTGCAGATTCTGCACAGAAAAATTACCTTGGTAGCAGCATAGACAGAAGCCAGCGGTGCTGGATGCAAAGCAAATCCCGATGAAACATTCACAATGATACCCTTTTTGCGGAGCTTCATATCGTTTACCAACAGCCGTGTCATCATTGTTACTGCTGTTACATTCGTTAGGATCATGTTGTATAGCACATCCTCTGATACTTTACCCAGCTCTTCAGGGTATTCGTACATTTGACCAACATTGTTTACTGTAATGAAAAAAAAAATTGTGTTGATGTAATTCATCGTAGTTCAATTAATAGAGTTATAAGCTATACTAAAAAAAATGTGTTGAAATTTAAAAAGCAGATATTGATTCATTCAAGCATAGTTTATATAGAACACAAGCGATTCTTGACAAAAATACAATAGTACCTACCTGATGATGGTAAATATAAATATGATGGTAATAAAAATATTGACCAAAATTCCAAAATTCAAAATGTGAAATTTTACGAAAAATTTACCAAAAACCAAAATTTTCATAGAAAAATCTTGACAAGCCTACCTAAAATCCCAACTGGAATCGTGCTAAGTGCGTATTTGATGTTTTCATAAATTTCTTTTCCATTACTAAAGTCAGCTACCACATACTTCGTTTGCACCGGGAACAGTGATTCTGTGTGTTAATTCGGTAGCAATTTAGTCAATTAAATCCATCGCGCTAATTGTTTTAAATTATAATTTGATTTGTGAATAAATTATTTGGCTTAATTGACTCACCAATTTCTCTTGAAACATGTATCAATTTCGATTGATTTCGTGCGATGAGAACGACATTAACACCATGTTGAGCTAGCTGTTTTGCGTACTCTTTGCCGATACCATCTGTTGAACCGGTTACCACTGAAATGAACATACAATCGATTAGGTTATATTTAGTTTTTAATTGGGGATGAGCCGGAATAGTCCAATAAGCGTGATGATTCAATTTGTAATTATTGGGTCGATGATATGATTTTAAATAATGATACCATGTGTGGCATTTCACTGGGACCATTTTTGATTAAAAATATATAAAGGGTTATCCAATAAGAATGATGGGATTTTATAATGTAAGCACACTGTCACTTGTTTACCTGCCCATGTACCAAATTTTTCATTCAGCGGTTGGTTGCCATTCAATTGAAGCGATGACATGAACAAATTCCATCCAATTTGGAACAATGATTTGAAATTATCAATGAACCACCAAAGGAACGCATACACTCCGATTAAGTAGAAGAATGACATGTTTTTTTTTATACTTGGAAACTAATTTTGCACATTAAATACTATTTAAACAAGAATTGCACAATTATATCTACTTGAAAAGCAAACATCTGGAACAATTTTAATTCACGTGACGATTTTCGAGTGAGTTCTTTACGATAGAACAATATGGTGCCGACTGAATTCTATTCATCACCAAAAATAGAAACTATGAAATTGATGATTGATCCCTCCCACTGCGTTTACCGTAGACCAAATTTGGTGAAGAAAAAAATTCGACCAGAACCACAGTAGACGCTATTTTTGTTCGATTAAATAATCTTTCTATTCCGGTTTTACATGGGAACAATGTCGAAAATTCATCAAAACGACAAATTCACACGAAATACCGTGGATTCCATGGCGTGATAATTCACATACTGCCTTCTGCTTTTTAATGCCACCTTTGGGAAATTCGAAGTGGACCTAATTTTTTGGCCAATTTCCAAAAACTGACGTGAGTAATTTTGAAGGTAGGTGTAATTCAGTTCAAATGAGAGTAATACTAGACTCCAATATTAGTATTATTGGAATTTTTTAAACATTTAAACCAACATTATGATCCGGCAATTCTCAACCGGTCATGCAAAATTCTTGATCTTTCTGCTTTGTGTCAACATTCTCTCGACGCGTTTATCAGCATCATCAATTTTGAAAACCTGCATAAGACAAGCTAACGGACATTTTCGTCTCATAGCTGATTATTTTTCTCGACGAGTTTATCAAATTTGAAGCTCGGTATTGAGCAAACTATGTTTGGTAAAATATTGACTTAACATTGTTGAGTATTAGTCGAGGTATTGGTCTGAATTTGATAGACATTCTATTTACATTAGCAAAAATTATTTTTAAAACAGAGATGACTTTAGCGCACCCGAGTATTTGTGTTGTTTTTTTTTGTGTTTTCTTCGTTATACTTTACCATTTTGGTCAAAAAAAAACTTTGTATCAATATTTTATGTAACATAACAAAGAACAGTTTTTGAAAAACCACATTTATATTAGTAAAATATGAAGAAAAAATCCGCAAAAGTAGAAATTGCGTAATATTGCGAAATTGAGCCAATGCCGTCTAGATGAACTGCTAGTAGATTTGTTCAATATTTTACTCAAAACACTGCCTGGCATCTCGATTACGTATCAAGTAAGGCTCAGAAAATTCCAAACAATTTTCCTTAATTTTAACAAACGATGAATGAAAATATCAATGAAAATACTTTATTTTAACAAACGTTTCTCTCTTTTTTCTTCAACGGGCGAAGAAATCAGTATGACCGACGTCATAATTTCATGGGAAGATTCAGTGGACCCAACGGTGAAGATGAATCATCTAAACTTAACACAGTCCTTGTGAAGATTCATTCATCTGTTTCAAAATGTTGCTCAATACAATACAAATAAAACAAACCTATAGAAACAAGCTCTGCTGAACTATCCAATCCAATGCATGGTGAATACTAATTTTTTGCTTGTATTATTATCCGAACGGTAATAATAAATTGGACGCCTGTTTATTCATCATCAGACAAACAATGTTTGACTCAAAAAAAAGACGTGGCAAATTCAAACTACATCCATGTGATCAGAACCATTCCGTGCAACATGTCTAAACGGTAAAATGTGCAAACAAATTTTGGCTGTCAAATTTTTTTTTTCCAAACTGTGTTTGTATGCTAATTCTAAATAACGAGTCGTCATCAATGGTATAATTTTGATAGTAATTTTATAGAGCATGCTCTATACCATCTGCAGATGATGAATATATTTGTTTGTTCATTATTCTACTGAACATCAGCTCTAGGGGGAAAGAACGACTTGACATATTTGCCGTATTCACGTCCATTTGCAAGCATTTGCATAGCGATCCTCTATGTTATTGTTGTTGTTTTCATGTTGCTTCGTCTCGTTCATAGTGGGCAGTGCTTGCTGAGCACGAATAAGAATGGCAAATACGCATACATCTTCTAGCATTCGTTTGTCGTATTTGCACGCATTTGCACGTTTTGTTAGGCATTGGCAATATTTCCATTTTATCTTTGAATTGGTGTCGTTCTTTCCCCCTAGCATCAGCTAACTGGAGTGAGTCTGTATTGGTAAGTATAATGTTCTACAATTTACCATATTGCGGATTGGAGTTGAACAATATCAAAACCAAATTTCAGATAAACGCATTGAGCCACTATGAATGGATTGCACCTCAAGAATTTAGCTACTATGTCTCCAGAATTAAGCTCCATCAAAAAGTTGATAAACATTTTAGATTGATCTGAATAAAAAAAATGGCAAAATTTAATTAAAAAATGTAAAAAAAACGACAAAGTATGAATGATAAAAAGAAAATCTCGCCCAAAAATGTTGCTGGCTGCAGTTAAAAAGTCATAATTTATTTGTTCACTTCATAAAAGTAGGATGTCAAAAGTCAGACACTCGTATATATGTTATTAATCCATATGTTATTGGAATACTGGACACAAAGACAGTTTAAACATAAATAAATCGATTGATTAATTAATATTATAGGGGTAGTTCGAAACAGGGGGGTTCCGATATGAGGAAACCTAATATTTTGGAAATGAACTATTGTGCAATTGTGAACTAAGCTCTAATCATATCCTGAGAAACAGAAATATCCATGGTTATTTCATCAGGCCTCTTTTTTTGTGTAAGTACATAAAATAAATTCAGTCTTAAAACTCAAAACGTAAAATAAGAAAGAAGTGAATCTCTAAACAGAAATTGCACGAAACTGAACAATTCTGTGTGTTCTAAACTAAAACAAAATTAATTGTTAGGAATTTAAAAGGATAATTGTTGCGTCCCTGAGAATGTGTCCATGTTTGGTTGGAAGTGTTTTTTTGTTGTTGTTCATTTCGTTTATTTCTTTTTCTTCTTGCCCGTTCTGCTGTCGTTCAATGTGTCGGCTTTGCGTTTTTGGCTGGCCCTCATTGCGGGAGAGACACCGTTGCTAGCGCCATTTGTCACTGTGACATTCTCTTTGACGGATTTCTTCTTCTTTTCGAGACGCTCACGCTCTTCGTACTCCTGGTTCTCACGTTCGATCAACATGATGAGAGTGTTGCATCGCCGCTGCAATTCGGCCGCTTTGCGCGACTTCAGGAACCAATCAAAACGGAATTGTGGCGAATTTCTGGGTAAGGTTAGAAAGAGAGGATTAGTTTTTGTGCGCGAAAAATGGAGATGATTTTGTTTCACTCACCGAATCGCCGCTTGCAGTTCTTCGTACACATTCTCCTTGTCGAAACCAAGTTGGTGCAACATACACACCAAGAATCGATCCTCTTCTTCAGTGTAATTTTTACCTTTGTTCGTTCCGTACGAAATTCTCAACTGATGGAATGGGACCAAGTAACGTTGCATCTGTGGACAATTTGATCAATTTTATTAGAAATCAAAGAATTGAAGAAAAAAAAATCCCAACAGAAAAAAAAAATCTCCAAAAAAAGCCAAAAAGCTGCACTCACCTTAATATCCAACGCTCTCTTAATGGATGCACGTCGATGAATTTTCGATTCACCTCGTTCAATTTGTTTCATAATACGTTCGATATCGTTCAATTCTTGGCATCGTTCCCAAAACACTTGGCTGTATTCAATGACCTCTTCGGGTGTCTTCCCTTCGACATCTCTGGCAATGTTTTCAATATCTTCACGGCCATATTTCTCATTGGCTCGAATAAAGTGGCTAAAATCTCGTTTCGTCCAATTAGTGAACCCTTGGCTCATCAATGATTCTTTCTCAGCGATCTCGTCTTCAGTGATTTGTTCAGCCTCGTCAATTTTTCGTTGTTCTTCGCGTTGTACTTTAGCCGCTTCACTGCCCAGATCTGGATTGCGTGGAACTTTGTAATTGACAGTTTTACGGAAATAGTAAATCTCTTGGTCGAGTAACTCAAACAAACGTGGTGGAAAGAATTGGAAATCTTGAACGATTGGTTGTTTTGGTGGACGTGGTGCCTTTGGTGCTTTCGGCTCTGATGTTCGCAATGCATCACGAAAGTATGCATCAACGGCATAATTAGCTTTACGTTCACGTTTCGGTGGTTCGATCCAGTTGCCAATGTTTACTTTGGCTTTTTCACGGAAATCTTCACCCTCAAACTGATAAATGTTATGACCTTTTTCGGCTGTATCAAGTGTGAAGCCACGCAATGAACTCTCGCCCAATTCATCCAATTTCTTCTTCTGCTCGGCCGTTTTCTCTTCACTTTTGTCCAAAATCTGGTCAATATCTTCGTCCGTGATGTCGCAATCTTTCGATGCAAACACATGATTGGCACCGTGCTGAATCATACTCAACATTTCATCCTTGTTCAATTGACCCGATTTGCTATCGACCAGCTTACCTTGCTGAATGACCAATTTGTCAAGGCGCAACTTGATTTCCGCACGTTCAACAATCTTCTCTTCGACCGTGTTCTCGGTAACAAAACGGAACACGCGCACCTGTTTCTTTTGACCGATACGATGGGCACGGTCCATGGCCTGCAAATCCATTTGTGGATTCCAATCAGAGTCAAAAATGATAACAATATCGGCGGTGGCCAAATTAATACCCAAACCACCGGCACGTGTTGACAACATGAAAATAAACTTTTGGCTTCCCTCGGCATTGTATTCGCTGATGTAGCGATCACGGTCTTCGTGCGCGGTTTTACCGTCCAAACGACAGTATTGGAATTGACGCCAGTGACAGTAATCCTCCAGAATGTCCAACATACGTGTCATTTGACTGAAAATCAATACACGCGATTGTTGTGCCTGCAGCTTCGGCAATAGTTTGTCCAACACAACCAATTTGCCGCTGTTGAACACTAAATACCAGATTAATTCAGAAATATTCAATGAAAAAAATTCTCAACGGAAAAATCTCCGAAAAATCAGCCTCAAACTCACCTAAATGTGTGTCAGTGGTGTATGGTGGACCAGGCTCAGCTCCATCAAACAGATATGGATGATTGGTACATTTTCGCAACTGCATCAAAATATTCTGCAATTGCATCTTCTCACATTTGCCTGCTCCGTTCACCACACCAATGTCTTTCATCAGAATTTTTGTATACCATTCGCGCTGCATTTTTGATAGGCCGACGAAAATTTTGATCTCTTTTTTCGGCTTCAATTCACTGGCCACTTCCGATTTTAAACGACGCAGCAAAAATGGACGCAGCACAGCGTGTAAACGTTTCACCAATGTATCATCGCCCAAACATTGATTCGTATTGAACCATTCATCGAAATCGTCGGCGCTATTGAACACGTCGGGCAGCAAGAAATTCAACAATGCCCACAATTCATGCAAATTATTTTGCAACGGTGTTCCGGTGATGAGCAGACGATTTGTCGTTTTAAATTCACGCAAAATTTCGGATAACTTCGATTTTTCGTTCTTAATACGATGCGCCTCATCGATGACCATGTAACGCCATGACAGCTTCTTCAGTGCACTCTTCTCACGAATACACATTTCGTACGATGTGACGCATACATTCCAATCGCCCGATAGCAACACATCACGGATGAACTCGGAACGTGAATTTTGGTCACCAATCAAACAGACCGCCTTCACCGATGGACACCACTTTCCGAACTCATTCATCCAATTCTGAAGCGTCGATTTTGGCACGATCACAATGTGCGGACCATTCACTTTTCTGTGGAAGGTTGAACATTGAAGAGATTTAATTTTTGGTGACAGGTTATTTTATATTGAAAATTCATTAAAATTGGAAGAAATAAAATATCATTATTCAATTACATGCAATGCAGTGTATGCATACACTTTTTTTGCTTGGGAATAAAATTTAATTGGATTCATTTTGTTTGGTTATTAAAAGTTGTAGAGATCAAAAATGAGGAGATATCACGATGATATGATTCACGAGTAAAAAATAATAATAAAAAAATTCCATGAAAATTTAACAATATTGCACAAAATTGCAGAAAAATTGCATCAGATTGCATCAGATTGCATTAGATTGCATCAGATTGCATCAGCCAATTCTATTTCATGAAACTTGCACGATTTTTTATTTAACAAAATCCGTAAAATTTCGAATTACCGTCGAAAAACTGTTGAAAAGTAATGGAAATTCTCTAAAGAATTGTGAAATTCCTTCAAATGAAGTGAAAATTTTCAAGGAAATATTAAAAAAAAAATTAAAACTGAACACAAATACTTGAAAAATTGAGTTAAACAGTTCATGAACTTGAAGTTGAGTTCAGTTCATGAACTGAATAAATATCACGGAGAATAATTTAAAAATTGCACAAATGAATAGAAAAATTAATCAATTTTCACCAAAATTTCTGCAATTTCACTGAATCAAGGAAAACGTTGGAAAAAAATTTATTGAATGTTTATTAAATTTTTGAATTCAATGTTTATTTTCTAAAGTTTAAATCAGAAACAAATAATTGGACAATAACATTGAAACTCCGCCCAATTGGAATATTTTCAGCAAAATTTTTGAAAAATTCTCAATAAAAAAAATTAATTGAACAATAAAAATGGACAAAACAATGTTCACAAAAATTTCAATTAAAAAAAACGACGCGTCCAAACACTTTATTAAATTCACCATTTAATTTTATATTTATTAAATTCACTATGGTGAATGAAAAAGTGTCACTGAAAAACTGATATCCATAGAAAAAAAATTCAAACAAAAAAAAAACACAGAAAAAAATGAAATTAAACTTACTTGAGATTCTTCAAATATCCAATCAGCGCGATGGTTTGTAGAGTTTTACCCAAACTGTAAAAAAATAAATCGTAAAATTGTCAATAAGTTCGCATTGAACATATGTGCATATTATGCATTGCATAAGTCGTTGTTGGCTATAATATTGTTGATTATAACATCGGTGACTCACCCCATTTCATCGGCCAAAATACCGTTGATGCCGTTTTCATACAATGAAATCATCCAATTTAGGCCACGGACTTGATAGTCACGCATCTCACCGTTCTCAATGTACGGTGGTGACTCTTCGAATCGAAATCCCTGCGATGATGCTTGATTAGCTTCGGCCAAAAGTTCTTCATCTTCTTCTTGTTCGGTCTTACGGTGACGATGGCTGTGATAATGCAATTGAGAATGAAAAAATCGATTAAAAAATTTATGAATGAAAAAAATTGATTTGTCGCAAAAAAATCGAACAAAACTATTTCTCTCGGTTGTAACTTACTCTCCGGGGTCGACGACTTCTTTATTTTTCTTGGGTCGTCCAACGGTTTTCACTTTAGTTGGTGATTTTGGTCCGGTGTTGGTCATAAAATGGGTAAAAATCTCCGTTTGTTTCAATAGATAATTGAAACGATTGGTGCGATCTTTCTCGACTTTGTTATCCAATTCGGCTTCATTCTGTTCTGGTTCCGTCGGTTGAACGTCATTCTATTCACCAAACCGAATAAAATAAACAAAAATCCCGTTAAAAAAATGCATCATTTCAACACCGTTTATACCGTGCACATAGACGCCATTCATTTTAGGGCCATACGAAATGTTCATTCAATTGAATCATGTCTTTGTTTAGCTCATCGCACGAATTTTCGTTGAGGCAAGCGAAAAAAAGAAATCATTTTAGCACATAGAGTCTTGAGACGCGCTATACATTGCACACGATTGTCGTGAGACGAACAGAAAAAGCAACAACAATGAACGAAACAGCAAGCTATGCTCACCACACACACACTACACGAACATGAACATAAATGTATGGAGAAAAAAATGTTCTCCCTTTTTGCACGACACTTGATGAAAAAAAAATCTTACCGAATTCTCATTGCTATCCGAATTTTCATTTGTTTCCATTGCCCCGTTGGTATGCTCGTCTTCGGACATGGTGTTTTAACACTTTTTTTTTTATTAATAAAACTCAATAATCAATCGACAAAATCCACAAACAAAATAGCCACTGTGTGTCTTAATAGAGCGTGCGACAAATGCTGCCTATTTCGATCCACTCATACGTTTGTTTGAGAGAGCAGCTGCTGCTACTGCTGCTGCTGCTGTGAAAATAGCGGCTTGTCAAACAATCGAGCGCATGCCGCTGCAACTTCACTCCGGTCGGTGACGCGTTGAACGCGTCCATTCGCAGTTGATGCCGAACACTTGTTGCCGCCAAATATGAATTTCGGTTTTGTGGTTCGTGTGTTTTTTGCGTGATTTTTTTGCTAGAATGGGTGTTGATGTCAATAATTTTGTTGGAAAATTTATTTTCATGTGTTTCAATGGGAAAACCATTGAAAATTGCAGAAAAATGCATTTTTGTCGTTAAATATTCCACTGAACTGAAAAAATACACTGAATCAGCTATTCATATAGTGCGGCGAATTTCGCAGCGAATTCAAAATGAATGAGAGATCCATCGGTTTGAAGCGATATAACTCTAGAATTTACATTATTATTATTTGGTTTGAATAAAACATTAACATTTTGACTTGAAATCCGAATTTTTTCAAATCATTCAAATAAATTATTCTTTTTCTTGCAATTTTTTATCATTTCTTTGAAACCAACATAGCTTCAATTCATATGTTTCGAGAACATTCGCGGCTGTTTCAGCTGATAAATATTTTTTTGTTTACTTTTTCGCAATTTGAATGATTTTCATTCAGAAATTGGGTGATCAAACGGAGAATCATACACTGGAGGACCTTGTTTTTTGTGCTCCAATGTTTTGAATTGTTCGATACTTTTTCATTGAAACTGACCTACATCAAGTCACCTACATTTCAAATCATTAAAACACCATTCAGTAGCCTGAATTTTGATAAATATTCCATCACTTACCGGCGAGTATTTATTGGGCAATTGAAAATAGTTGTGGTTCATTTAAAAAAAAAGGTTTCATAATGCTAAGCCGTACATTTTCGTCGTTTTCTTCGCTCTCACTATCTCGTTGTTGTACCGCATTAAAGAAGAAAAGCAGAAACAACATTAAAGAACATTCATGCCGTTGAATCTGTGTCGTATGTATCGCATACATACCGAATGTGTTTCTATGTATCAGACGCCCTTGTGTTCTTTTTTCTCATTCACTTTCGCAGAGCATGAAAGCAGAGCCAAGTACGGCTGTGAATTTGAAGCGTAAACATATGACGAGAAGAACCAAGCCGAAGATTGCGTGTGTTTGTTTTTGTATATGTGTTGGTGTGACACTCACACCATTACGAGTGCAAGAGGTTTACTTATCGCTTGTCACGAATACAAACAAAGCGAGTGGATCTCAGAACATTTCAATGGCAAGGCGAGCAACAGGAAAACGATATGCTAGGCGATATATGTAGGTGTATTGTGCGGAACAAAAGAGATGCTATGGATGTTAAAAGTAAACGAGACGAAATTTCATCAATAAAACACTCTGTTAAATCACCAAAGAAATTCGTTGCTGTAACAGATTCAAATATTGAAGAAAAATAGATATTTTGGTCTGAAACAAATTGTATTTGCTTCAATATAATTGCTATTTTTGATGCAATGTTTATGGTGTGCAATTATATAGCGTGTGTGTGTATTCGATCAATGTATACTAACGCCGATTGTGACATCTACACACAATTCGCCACTTCGCCAAATTCACAAGTCTCTCTCAGTGACAGTCAATTCAAAAACTTTTTGGATGTGCTTATGCTGTATAAATCCCTGTTTTATAACAATATTCATAGTTAATAGTTTTCGTAGTCGATATAAAAAGTACCTGATTGCAGAGCAAATTAATGAAGTACAAAGCAATACATAAATTATTTTATTTTTAAATTTTAAAGAAATTTATTTAAAAGAAGAGGCAAAAATGTAATAATGGATATGAATAATAGATATAAGACCCATGTAATTGGCCTTCGGGCAGCATGTTAGCGAATCATTGCACGCGAACATTTATGTACGCAGATTCGTTAGCCGAATACGATAAATAATAAATAAATAATAAATAAATAATAATACATACAATTATCGAATTTTCGGCAATTATTACTGAAAGAAACACTGTTTGCTATTTTATTTAGTTTAAATACATTTCAAACGTTCTAAAACTCGCATCCGTTTCAGTCACTTGTCGCTTTCCAACTGAATATTTCTTTTACTATTCCAAGAATATTTTTAACAGAGTTTGAAAATGGTCAAATTTCATATAATTTCTCGAAATTTAATGCCAAAATTTAGCTAAGTCACAGGCAATCAGTCATATATTTTTCTTTTTTAAATTTCTTATCATCGAGTACAATGTATTTGTAATTTTGATATCCGAATGGATTCTGTCCAGATTCATTTATTGAATCTAAGTCCATATTCAGAACAGCTTCTGGAATATTTTCGATATCAGCTGTTTCCGAGAGTTGCCAAAAATATTTTTGAAGTGTCACAAGATGAGCTGGAATTTTTCCGTTCCAAAAATGTTTCTGGGTCCACATATTATTCAACATATCGATTTTTGATGGTAAATTCTGTGCTCCAGAAATGAATTTCATCGCAAATTGAGCCTGTTCAAAGAATAATCCATATTATGTCCATTGAAATTAACAATTCTTCTGTTTTAATTCTAGAATTCGTCGATTTTATATTCAACTGAAGGTCAAATACGGGAAGAGTGAGTACAGTTTTTGGCATGCCTACGAAAGCCATTGTGGGATAGTTAATGTTGAAGATGTGTTTATACAACGGTTGAATAAAATTATCGTCAACATGAATGCCCGTGTCAACGCTCAAAAACGGAAACGAATAATTGTAGCCTGCATTTTCATTAAATTCATGGTTAATTTTCGTTCAATTTAATTAAACACACATTGCCCAAATTACCTGTGGCATAAATGACCCTAGTGAAATTTGCATGTGTGCCATCGATGAATTCTGCTTCGTTTGACGTGAAACGTTTTACATTGTATTTCAGTTTTACCATTTCAGGCAATCGTTTTCAAATCCGCTCTTCCTTCGTCCGATTCATTGGATTTTTAATACTCAACGTTACTTGACTTGTAACATTCCAGAGCAAACTGACTCAATTCCTCTTACATCATCGCCGACAACAAGAACCTTTCCGCCTATTTCAATTTCAGACATTGACTAAACATAAGTCACTTTGGAATCTATTAAATCTATGAAAAAACTCATTTTACCATGGAATTTATCAACTGTTTGATTGCTTTTCAATTTTGAACTTCCATTATTTGAAGAACTTTCTATTACGTGATGTTCATTTACGTCTGACAACTTGGCTACGGTCAACTAACGTCCGAAACTGTGAGACAGCTGAGTCTCACTCTTCTTTATCAGTGCCAATTACAAGTAAAAAGTTTCAAATATGCTCATGAAATGTTCATGCTCAGTTTTAAAAGCGATATGATTTGACTTTAAGGTCAGGTGAATATTGTTTTCATTAGAATTTCTTCCTTGAACGCTTTTTCTCTAATCTCAAAAGCGCTGAATACGTATGAACGCATGATATAGATTCTAGCGTTCACTTCACACCTTACAGCAGTTGGTTTAGGAATGATGATTAAAGGAACTAATCAATGAGGAGATAGAAAAATAAAATTTATAACATTCGCACCGTTTATGAGTGATTCAGAAACAGAAATGTAGCGAGGAATCGGACGAAATAAATCGATTAAACCAAATAAATAAATACCACAAAAAACGATCGAAATTTTGAAAAAATGCTCAAAATTTAAAAAGAGCAAAGCGCGTAACTCAAGCCGAAAGGACGTATCCTATCAAAGAGAATGAACGATATAACGCAAAATAAATGTGATTACGATGAACAAAAACTCACTTGTGCGATTCAGTTTAAGTTCATTTGCCTTAACCAACACTGTGTGATACGCCAGATAGTATCAGGAAGATGCATGGTGTAGGTGTAGAAGTATATACTGCACAAAATAAAATGTATTCCTTATTATTAAGTAGATATTAATTGTACTGAAACCATTGCCGAACAAAGCGAATACAAGTCATTGCTACACTTTCTACTCAAACTGTTTCAATTATTTACCCAATAACGGAATATATTAACCCAACAAAAAAAATCGTATATTTTAGAAGACCATTCCACCTGTTGTTTGCACAGTCAAGTAATTGCCAAACATATTCTTTGTTTTCTAGTCAATTTTAAAATAAAATTGTTTTGTTGTGAGTGTGAATTGTTTTCAGCCACCTTTGTAAGTACAAAAAAAAGGTTCAACACACTTGAATCGATTGACGCACCGGCTATGAATATCATTTTCTGGAGAAGATAGAAAACAATTTCTTGTGCGATCTCATTTTGCAAAGTGAAGTTTTGTGAAATTGAAGCTTGTTGATCGCTACACTCGCCTCTTTTCCAAGTGTTTTCTGTTAGTTTTGTTCGTTTGTCACCATGTTCATCGAGTCCGTGGAAGACCTGTACTATGTATCTTCCACTGTGTTAATGCTGGTATGGGTATTAATTTATAATTGGCAACGAAAGAAAAACGTCAAACTTCTCGTTGAACTCGATGAAATCGTCGAAAAAAGTAAGCTAAAACCCAATTGAATTCATTATTTTGATCTTTTTGAGCTTTAAAGAACGAATCCAACAAAGAAATTCTTCAATAAAATCCATCAGGAAGCCAAAATGTAAACGTGAGTCAAAATTACCATCAAACCAGTGCTAAAATAGATGATTTAATGGAAACTGTTCATTTGATAATGATGCAAACTTTGGTGCCATTCGTTGTGATCGCTTATATTTCCATACTGGTTTATAAGCAACTGTTCTGGGACTACATCAGCAATTCGTTTTGTTACATTTTTTCCGCAACGTAAGTCAATAACCATTTGTGGCATTTGTACACTTTGACTGCGATTTCTTTGGAATTAATCAAAAAAAAATATCGAACCGTATCAACTGCGCTCTGTATTCGAGCTATTCCGCTTATCTTATTTTTACTTGTTCTGATTTCATCTTCTACTCATTTTCGCAAGGCTTCACTTCAATTTGGGAACACCAGTTGGGTTTTTGATTGGCACAATAGTTCAAATTGCGACCGTATTCATCACAACCGACCTATTCATTGCCACTCTAATGGTTATTAGTCAGCTGCGATTTTTTGAAGTCGATTTCATTCTGGATTTAAAACAAAGTCTAAAGCAATTGAACGACGAAATTGCATTGGCAAAGCAAAATGAAAAATTGCCGATTAACGAATCAGGCAATCTAAAGAGAAATCTCATCGATTTGATGCAATTTTTCTCCACAGCGAAAGAGTTAGTATTTTTTAGCTTAGGACAAAATTTCCTTATAAATCTGCTTCATTTTCTTCTTTTCATTTTTTTTGTTCCTTTTCAGATTCATCAAATGTTTCGATGATGTAAATGACCCGCTGGTTTATGTTTACATTTTGTACGCGTCCATGTCATTCGGCGGACTTTTATTCCAAATACGCAATGTAATGATCAGAGCAAAAGCGAGACAATTTTTATGGGATTCTCAAATGACTTGTCTCACTCTTGCTCTAAGCGTGTCATATCATCATATTCCAAACAAAAAGTGATCAAATTGCTTTCAAACGAAAAATTTTATTCGATTGTTTAAATTCAATTTATTTGAAGTCAGATCAATTTGTTTAAAATGATTGCTAAAAGACAAATTGAATCGATTTTAATTCGAATTGAATTGATTTTATTGAATTTTTCATTCAAGATTTTTTATGCTCAACTTTTTTTTGCTCAATTGATTTTTTGAAAAAATACGATTCGAAGAAAAATGATCTTGATAAAAAAAAATCTCATTCTTCATAGATACTCATAGCACATAGTATGATTGGCATATTGCAAGTTTTAGTGCCTGCTTCAATTTCCGTGTTCTGGCTGTGTTACTTCTGCTACTTTGGCTATCGAAAGGTGGAACGGATAGAAGAACTGGGTGATGACATCCAAAAATTGAACATTGCATATTTACAACTGTGAAAGTCGCCTTTGGAATACGTATTCCATAACAGTTTAGTTTGGTAAAAAGTAGGCTACTATACATTGAGTGAATCGACACCAGTGCGCAATAACAGAGACAAAAAAATTAAAATTCAAAATGAATAAAATGTTATTTTGTACAGCTTATGAATGTTGTTTTATTTACTACATTTGGACAGTTTTTCATCAGAAATGCCTATTTTTGTGGTTCTATGTCCGTCCCAACGTCTTTCTTTGTCATTGCAGCTTTGCCATGTTTCCATTCATTGTACGTTTGTGATTGTTTTCGTATGGTTGCCCAACAAAAGAAATGAGAAAAACGCACCACATCACACACTTGTGAAGGCTATTTTTGTCATCGCACATAAGACGAATATCTTTTTAAGTCAATTCAGCGTGGCATTATGTTTCATTCCATATTTTACGGATTTTTTCAAAGATTTTTTCAATCAAAACGTAGGCTGAAAATTTCATTCAGCATTTTCGAAGACGGATACACAAAAGCAAAGCCATAAAATTAGCTCTGGGTAATTACCATTTAAATCGTTTCGATATACCAGCGAAAATTAAAATACGGTGAACTCATAGAGAAGCGAAAAAAATCGAAGTGACGGGAATAGCAGTTGACGATAAAAAATGAAGCAAAAACAAATGCGATAAATTATTGCCGACAGTATTGACGGTTTGAGTGCGTTTGCAAAAAAATCTTCAACCCAACGAGACTCAATAATGCCTATGTCTATTGGATGTATAGTGTGCACCAGAGGGGCGAAACCGAACTGTCATCATCAATTACAACGCGGCTGTCAGAATAAAGTACAAATTAAATACACGCCAGACAGTCTTAAGTGCACCTTCGTAGAACGACTCGTTGAATTTGAACTATTGAAAAAGACAACGTATTTTCGTGAACGTATATTATTCATGGAGTGAATAAAAATGATAAAATCAAGTGGAAAATGAATATTTGTGTAAAATTATGTTGTTTCTTTATTTCCTATTTAAATGCAATGAATGATTTGGATGACACATCCACATTATCAAATTTAGAAAAATGTTTCCAACATGAACATATTTATCTAAGTTTTCTTTAGATTTGCTGATGTTCAAATGAATTTTGAAATCAATTAATTCAATTTTCTCATTTTTTACGTTCGCTTCCTACAAAGTGAGCTTGAAAATGTGTTTCAGGAGCCATGGGAATAAAGTGGCTCCTTAAACACACAATGGCTTTGTTCCACCGAGTGCACAAATTTGTTCTACACATTGAACATGTCAGTAGATACTTAACCTCACTTTGTCAATCAAAAACAAGAAAAATGTTAGCAAAGAATTTCTGAGCAAAAAAAAAGAAAGTTCATATTCTTTTTCGGTATTTTTTCAAACGTTTCTAAAATGTTATTAAAAATGGGTTTTCATATTAATACACTAGGTATATTTTTATAAATAATTGAAATATTTTTTAACCAGAATGCTTGAAATATGTACTCATGTACTTATGCATACTTTTAGCGCGTTCCGCAACGAATGACAACCGACTACGCGGTCCCCGTTGTAGTTTGACAGTTCGGTTTCATGGCTCTGGTGTGCACTCAAGTTAGTATATATGTTACAAATATATGCACCATTCTATTTATACGGGTTTAGAACTTATACATCGTCATGGGATATATATATACATTCCAACGGTTTCTTTATATACTATGTAATGAACAAAACCAAATTTCTATCAGCCGGCATGCTATGCAGGCAGCAATCCTATATAAATATATTACGTTGGCAGCGGTCTGTATGTGTGAGTCAGAGTGAGTGTGTAACAAACACACTTACAAAATAGCATCTGTGTGAGCCCAATGCAACTGCATTTGAGTAGGCTATGTGTGCGTGCACACAATGCGTTCTCTGAATGAGACGGAAGGTTAAAATTTGAACAAAATGAACATTTTCAATTTCATGCATGTCGAAAAGTGTTCATCATTTTAGCTTTGCATGTCGTTCTCTCTTTCTGTGTTTGTGAAAACAGTGAATTCCTTATTGGTTTGAATTTTTCTGAGCCAAGAAGTGATGAAGACTCATTTAGCTCGACTGAAAAACAATACATTCTACGATTCGTGTCTACAAACAGACTTTTTTTTCTGAAAACTAAACAAAAAAATTGACACGAATCCAATTCAAAATACACATTTACAGAGGCTTGATTTAAAAACGCATGAAATATGTTTTTTTTGCTATAGCGTATTATCGTTTGTGAGTTTATTTTTAGATAAAGAACATACAATTCACTCTCCAGACGCGCGATAAGACAGCCCAAGAGTCATTTTTTCATTATTTTAATCGTACAAATTGAACGTAATGTTCATCAGCAGACTCATTAAATTACAGAGTTTTTCCAAACGAAATCGCCAAATTCTAAAAAAAAAAAACGAAACGATTTCGTCGAATCGAGTGAATATGAAATCACTGAAATGTATTTTGAATGCAACATGTGATAAATGAGAATAGATGAGATTGCTGCGACGAAAGTCACAAAAAATGTCGTTTGGTTCGTTTCATTTATTCCACCAAAAACGAGCTCGTTAGTGTGAGCTGAAAAAAAAATAATACGAATAAAACACAAACACAAGGAAATGAGATAAGTGCGTTTGTTTGTTCGGGTTTCGGATCGTGGTGAAGCGAAAGTAAAATACGAAGATACGAACGCCTATGTTAGAGCCATATTCATATACATATGTTACATTATAGAAACTAACAAATATATCGCGAGTAACAGAAAAAATAGAAAGAACAGAAAAAATAAATCCAGTGCACACATGTGTATGACATGTCTACGCACAGCTTCTCATAAACACACATGAGCAACGCAATTCTATGTGGGATCAAGACCGAATATTGTCAATGTGAGAATGTGTTAGTGATGGGTATTTGTGTTTGTCGTTGAAATGTCGCTAGAGTAGACATAGATTCTCACTTTGACATACAGTATAGAATCGTCTCTTTACCAGTTCGGTGGTTACGCAAGAAATTTTGACTGTGAACAGTTCCATATGGTTGAAAAAAAATTATTTTGTTCGTTTGTTTGGCTCGGAAAAAGTGTTTTTCATTAGAAAATACAATGTTAAAAAAATTCGAATCGAACAACGAACAAAATAATTTTTTTTCAACCATGTGGAACGGTCGACGGCCATGCTATACGTAAGACGTGGCAGATGTGACATATAAGTGGATATATATATGTATATTTTTTTTTTGGTTGTTATATACTGCGTAGTGTAGTTCAAAATTTAAATATATATAAATTACTAATAAAATGACGAAGCATCATAAAGTTTTGTAAAAAAGAGTGAAGTGCACTTTGTTTTTTGGAGCTGGATTATAAATAGGAGTAAGCTCGGCCGTTACTGCGCGTAAGTTTTTTTAAGCCAGAATCATATTTAACTCATTTCAAATCGGCATATTTGCATTGGATGAAAAATCGAAGGCCCGAGAGGCAATGAGTTGATTAGAAAAAAAACCGCTACGACTGACATAGTTAAAGTTTATGTAAACACACAGAAAAATAAATACAGGTTTTTGATTTAAACATTTCTTTGCTTTGAGAGGAGAAAAAAATGTTTGGTTGAGACAACTTAATTTTTGTATGGTTTTCGGAAAAAAAAATCGTTTGAAAATCTATACTTATTTCTCGGTGTGTATCAACTTCTTTTCACTCAAACGCCGATTGAGTAAATCTGCACTCACTGATCAGACGGTATAGCTCACTGCGTTCAAATGTTTCTAAAAAAGCTAAATAAATAGAACAACTTCGAAATTCAAAGTGTGTATGCTTAAACAATCCAATTTTATTGTTTTTTAAATCTCGATAGGAGATTTTTTTTTGGATTTTCACGAGTTTTGTGATCAAAAATGGAGAGTTAACAACAAACCATTTCATTGGGAAAATTCATAGCATTCAAAATAAAAAAATTCTTATCGAGATTTAAATCATTTGGATTTGATCATTTCACGATTCAGATCATTTTTTTCATTCTAAATGTGAAATATTTTCATAATTCCGCCACTATTTTTGCGACGCTTCGTCACCAACAGTTCGTTATAGTGGCCGCGCTCGAAGAGTGTGCAAAGGGAAAATAATACATACATAAGGCGCTCTTATATGAGAACGATCTGTGTGACGAGGTGTCAGATGAGTGTCGTACGTATGTATCATTTCTTCTTTGCACACTCTTCGAGCGCGGCCACTATAACGAACTGTGTGTGTTGAAGCAACGCGCGCATGTAGTAGTGTTGTTTTGCCTTATACTGTATACGCAGAGCGTCAGACCAACCGTTCTTAGTGTCGACGCTTACTATGCTCGAGCGCGAATTTTCTATGGAGTTTGAACCAACAAATTCAATTTTTTTTTCTTCTGTTTCCTCAGTTGTTCAATGATGAGCGATTATGTTAAATATGGCCGATTGTAAGAAATTCGACATCCAATTTCAATCTTCCACAATTGAACCGAAACTTTTTCCTACGTTTATTGAATAAAATCACTACTTATTGCAATTGGCTATAAAATCGTCCATCTACGAATTGAAGCTCTAAACTATGAACTCTGGACAATTTGTTGATAAAAATTCAAGTGATTTTTTCTAAAGCTCTAAAAGACTATCTAAAACAGTCATGGACCATAAAAAACATTTCTGGAGGATAAATTATATGATTGATCAAATAACGAATTTAAATATTTTTCTTTCACACATCGTTGATTGTAATTTAATGCTAGATTTTTTTTTTCAATTTCAAGGAACTCGATAACACAACAGGACGATCGTTTGATATTGACGGCGGTTGATTACTGGGAACAAATTTGAAAAACTCAGGTATTTTTTCGAATATTTTCATTTAAATCTTAATTTAAAAATAAACTTGAAATAATTTCAATATTTTTCTGCTTTTTCAGATGCTGTGATGCAAGAGGTTTTTTTTCCAGATGTCTGAGGTAATTTGGGGAAAGTTTTTGAATAGAACAAAATTTCGTGGAGGCTCGAATTCTGTGGGTGAGATTGAAAATGGTGTATGTTTCAAACGTTTTGTATTGAAATAAGTAGAGTATGTCTCCAAGCGGTGAGCAAATCTTGAAATAATTGATTCATTTCAACAAATAAACGATAACTCTCCTCTGTAAAGTTGCACAGTTTGATAAGACCAACAAATTTTGCGAAGATACCCATTTAGTATTTTTTGTCATTAAAGTAAAAAATTACCAAAAGCCACGAGTGGAACATACTCTACTTTATTGAAATATAAGTTGTCATAAAAAAACATATACTACTCTCAATCTCACTCATAGAATTGCTAATAACCAATGATTAGTGCATTTAAATAGTCATGAACTGGAGTGAATCATCAAGTAATTAATTGAAATTGCCACTTTCGATACGAATTTGAATTGGTTTTAGTTTGATTTCAAACAATATCGAATGCAGTAAATTTGGTATGTAGAAAGTGAATCAATGCACATATAAATGTATATGCTTTTAGAGTCTTAATCGAGAATAGATCCAATACTAAAGACTGCTGTGTGTGTGTGTGTCATTCCTGTGTTCCTCTTCATTCACTTCATGCGTGTGAACTTCTCTTCATTGTGCTTTTTTTGCTGATTTCATTTGCTCGCAAATCACGTTATTTGATTGCTTGTTTCGTCATTTCTGCTGTTTTATGTTTCGCGCATGCCGATTTTGCCTTTGCAACAATTTGCCAAGTCTCTTTGATTTTGCGTTTCTTGTTTTGTTATTGTGACATTATTTCGTGGAATTTTTTCGTTTCATTTGTTCGACCATCGTAATAATCAACTTCAAATTCCACCATCTCGCCTTCAAGGGCGGGTATACGATAACGAATGCCAATGATGAATTCATCTGAAATAAACGTGAAAAATTCGAATATTCGATGTGAGATGTATTGAGAATGCAAAAATGTCGGTCTGGCAAAAAAAAAGAGAAAAAGGATTAGAATTTGGAGAAAATATATACTTATGTTGTCAATTTATAATACAATTCACTTAAAACTTTTTTTTTTACAATACATAACACGGTTGGTATTATATACTCTTGCTCAATTCAAATTGTCTTTTCTCTTGAATCATATTTCAGTAATAAACTAGTAAATGACACATCTTTAACATAAATAATAACGATATCGTTAAAATCGTTTATTTGGTTTAACAACTTAATCAATCATGAATGTGTTTCAATAGGTATACGATTTTTGTCTCAAGATAGCTTAATACCGTATTTAAAGCCGGGTTGTTTAAGTCTTTTAACAATTTTTGTAAGAGATGCGTTTTCACAAAACTTAAAAGTACGTGGTAATAGTCTACTTTTCTTGCCGGTTTTAATTTGTTCTGCTTATACATCATTTTGTTTCGATTTTTTTTTTGAGTTCATCAGTTTTGTTGACATTCGTTATCATAGTCTTCCATCTCTTTTTCAAGGAAATGCAATTTCAGTTGAAAGTAACTAATGAGAGTTCCTCTTGTGCGATTGTTTTGTTCCAATAACATTCACGGTTCGAAATCTACGCACACATCTATTCGATTGCCCGCAGCATCTGATTTGTTCCATCAACAATGGCGCGTAGCTTAAAAAACGTTGGCCGTTGAATAGCACCAACTTCTAAAAATTTTCTAATGTATTCTTGTATCATTTCTTCCTTATGGTCGAACCTTTTTTTTAAATCCTCCCAGGCCGGTTGATAATTTTGTCAGGTTAACTGGTATCCTCGTATGGTGTCTAGTGCTGTACCCTTGAGGTGGCTTTTAAGTTGGTGGAATTTGACAGTGTCGGATAAACTGTCATTTTTGTCAATTAGGTATTCGAAGAAATCTTTGAACGAAGTCCATTCTGTAAGTTCTCCCAATTGAATACGGAAGGCCGATTGTATCGATTTTAAGCTGGACAATATTACCCGTTTTCTTCTTGGGTGCACCAACAATTCCGCTTCCATCATTAAAAGCGGCCGCTCCTTCTTGACCATCTTGATCCAATACTTGATTTTCAAACTTCTGCTCTAGGCTAGATATGGCTGAACTCAAGTCTCTAGCGGTTTTTGCTTGGTTCATCAATCTTTCTAAATCTTTTTTAAAATTTTCAATGTCATTACCTTGCTGATTGCGGTAGCTTTCAGCCTCTTGTTGTTGTCGTGTTGCGGCTTCCCTTCCATCTTCTGCCTTTTTTTGCAGCTGTGGAGCCGCAACAAGACTAGCTGTATTGGAAGTTTTTGGTTGCGCTTGCAATTCTTCCAACTTTTTCCTCAAGTCATCCAACTGGTTCGCCAGTTTTCCCTTCTCTTTTTGTTCTTCGGTATATAGACGGTGATTCTCATCTCTATCCTTTTCTGCTTTCTCCTTTTCACTCTGGTTTTGTTTGATCCATTCAGTTTGTTCTTCTATTGTTAATGTGAGGATTCGATCTTTTAGTTGATCGTCTAGTGAATTGTATAATTTCTCAACTTCTCTTCTGGAGGTTTGCAATGATGAGGCTTGAGCCGTTGATATTTGGGATTTGTCAATTGCATGATATTTTGTTTTTGAGCTTTCAAACAACTTATTGATTGTTGAAATATTAAAAGGAAAATGAAACACAACCGTTTTCTGCTGATACGATTTCAATGCTGCGTCGACGTATTTTTGCACAATGTCCTGGATCAAATTCGCATTCGAAGTGAATTTTATCGTTAGCACTTTTTTTGTTGAATGTTCCACCACATAATAAAATTGTCGACGAGTTATGATTTTTTTCACATAATTTCGCTTTGCTATACACCTCACTTGTGTTTCAATATGATTTTTATATTCGATGTCTGTCATATGAATTGTGTTGGTGGTAATTAAAATATCGCTTACTGGATTCATTTTTCATTTATGCGTCGTTTCATTTTTATTTCACTTTTGCTTTTGTCAGCATTTTCTCATGAGAAATATTCACGCATTCTCGGGTTTGCTAAATCGCCAAGAACCACACGTAAGAATGTGCGCAAAAAACAAGTTTCTCGTTTAAATTCATTATGCGCATTGTATTACGTGTATTTCTGAGTTCGTTTTCCGTTTCTCGGATTTCACTTTGCACCAGCTCTAACAATTCCAATGTCCGTGGCAATGTAAATCTCGGGCGATTCGACATTTTTGCAATAAAAAAAAATATCACTTAGTTTATAGAAATGTAAATTTTTCGTTGAAAGAAAAGTATTCAAATTGTTCGATGATTCAGTTTTTTTATCGAAATTTGCAATTGATTTCTTTTCACAATTCACTTTTTTTCTCAAACTTGTGCATTTGCGTTTGCATTTTGCATATTCCGCAAAATCAAGTCTTCAATTCTTCTTTCTTGTTCTGCACTTCTTACCGCATTTTTCGCTACTCTTTTAAATGCCTAAATCACGATGATAATTATTATTAGAATGATAATCATGTAAAAAATAAGTTCGAGCTCGCGCACGTTTTCATTCATTTGTTTGATAATTCCGTTGTTGATTATATTGCCCTTCATGAGGCCTCTATTGTTCTCTGCCGTCAATGGCGCTTCTTTTGAGCCAAAAAGACCCATTTTAAAATTAAAATTTTCCACTCACTTCTTCAAATTTACAAAAATCACTTTTTTTTCAAGCACAAATTATTTCACTTGTCTCACTCTCACTCTCTTGCCCTCGTGTCGACTCGCCATATTCGGTATCAGGTTACTTACCGGGCGGAGAGTGATATATATTACTGGAATGTAAGAGTGAAAACAAAGTCACGTCTGTATGGTTTGAGGTATTACGCTGGAATGACTTTATTAATTGTTATCATAATTTGCAGTATGCGACAATTGCATTGCGCACACGCGTTGCGCTTACGCCAACGCAATTGAATAAAACCGTGATTTATTTATGTATTTAAACAAATCTGATGGCTTTTTTAATTCATCAATTTGTTTTTGTAAATCTTTTGCTAATTTTAAAGCATTATTTCGAGCTATTATTTCTGCCTCTTACAATTGATTCTTTTCATCTCTTTCCTATTAAGCTTTAGTTTTAGCCTCAGTTTCTTGTTTAATAATTAATCTTTGATCTTCGATGGTGAGCTGACGAATTTTGGCTTCCATTAGGTTTATCAAACTATTGGCCTGGCTGATAATATTGATTTTTTCTGCATTCAGTGCTGTTAATTGATCCTCATCTAATTCTTTTTTCATTAATTCTTTATATCTTGCAGTATACGTTTCTTTTAATTTTTCGATAGATTCTAACTTTGGTTCCAAAACCGACCTTGTTGAAGTTCCAATTACATCATCAGTAAATGTACTGTTGATGTTTTTTATTTGATTGGAAATTTCGGTTAATTCCTGAATGGCTTTCCTAGTTTGTTCAGTTTTAATAGCTTGTTTACCTGCAAGTTCAGCAGCCGCCTCTACTTCTTCTAATTCCTTTATTCTTGCCTTAATGGGTGTTTCGATTTCGGTTTTTAGGTTCACTGCTTCTTCCCTTTTTGTAAGCCATTCTGGGTCGTCAGGAACATCCTCTGGTGGTGTCTTGTCCCAGGCATCGGTTATTGTTTTAGTGATACTTTCCACTTCAGTTATTTTTAACTTTAGATTAAGTAATGAGGCTTCTTTTATATAACTGGGATCGGATATTTCTGCTTTGATGTTTTGCAGTTTGTCAAAATGGGTATTTAATTTCTCCATTTTTGTGACCCCTTTTTCTTTTAAATTTTTATTCTGAGCTGGAATCACTCAGTTCTTCATTACACAACAAGTCAATTGAATCTATACTTTGATTAGTATACACACTGGAACTCACACTTTCATTAGAGTCATCAGAATCACTTAGTTTCTCATCACACCACAAATCAATTATTATTGTATGTTCAAGTCCTTCAAATACCTTGAACTTTATTTTGCACTCCACCTTTTTAATATTCACAAAGTTCAATGACTTCTTTAATTCCTGGGTGGTTTGATTTAAACACCCTATATCGTGGAACTACCGGGTCTATTGGCAAATTGATGTCTGAATCCGAACTAGAATGTTCTGGTGAACTGATCATGACAGGCGAATCTCCCGGTGAATATGGTTCTGAACACATTGACTTTAAATAAGAACGAATTGATTGGTTAGAAGTTGGTGAACGAGGTGATGAGTAATTCGATGAGTAATTTGGAGACGTATACGGCGTATTTAAATTTTTTTCACTTGTTTTTCCTGATGGTGACCAAGGTGGTGAATAGCTAGGAGACGTATACGGTGTATTATTTAACTGTTCTGATCTTCTTATACACTTTTGGGAAGTACTTGGTTGTGAAATGTCTTGTTCTGAAGTACTTGGTAACTTTCACCGAATTCGATTACTTTTTTACCATAATCCGAATTGTCAAACATATCCTTTGTGAATTTTAATAATAGATTCAAATTTTCATTAACTTTTTTTATAGCATCAACATGCCTCTCGAAGTTGAGCGTTGTGTAGGAATCAAGATCCCAGAATTCTCTTGTTAAATTATTAACTTCTTGATTGAGATTTTTTATAGAAATGTTTTTAATACGTTCATTTCTTTTTTCAATTTTTCAATCTTCATTCGCAGATTTTTATTTTCATTGCTAACTTGCGTAATTGTTTCTTTTGCTGAACATAATGAGCACTTATTTTTCTTGCCTCTTTTTGGCTTTAAGGTCTTTTCACTCATATTTTTTCAAGAATGTAATTCAATTGAAAACTAAATTCGAAATTTGCCCTTCGCGCTCAGCAAAGATTGCAACGATTTGAGTTCGAATTTGAAATTCTTCGCGCTCGTGCAATTAACTTTGACTGATTTGAGTTCAGACAAATTCTCGCTCAACTTTGTAAAATTAAAGAATTTTACAAAGCGATAATTTTCTCAATTCAACTTTTTTTCTCACTATCACTAATTCTTATGCACTCATCATGTCCTTCTTCGGGCGCCAATGAATAAAACCGTGAATGTTTTATTTATTCAAACAAACTTTTTATTTATTACAAACTTTTCACAATTTTATTTGCTTTTTATTTAGCACAAAATTTTCACATTGATAAAAAAGAGACCTTGCTCTTGACTTAGTTCGAGTTAAACTGATCAATTTCTGCTCTACTAGATATTACAGCTCAACTGGCTAGTATCTATTTTTACTCTGCTTTTATAATATTTCGTGCATTTGGCTCCATTTCCAGAAATGGTCTCGCTGAGGTGTTTACAGTTTGCATTTATTTTTACATTCCTGATTTACGATAATTGCATTGTTTTTCCCAAAATTGCATTTTCCTTTTATTTGGGTTTGAACCTTGAACGCAATCTGCATATACGTTCTATTTTTGTATAAACTTGGCAGTGACCGTAAACTCCTCCTATTTGGAGACTTATTTATAGAAGGATGCACGAATTTCTAACATGTGTTTTTGAGGCGGGCTTCTTATAACTTGGAAGTATAAACAAAGGCGCTTTATTTAAAGCTCTTTTCCTTTCATTTTCATGTTCTTTGTTTACACTTCTAGCTACATTGTTGCAGTCTCCTAATTTGGAATTGGGTTATTTACTTTAGTTTCAAACCAAATCAGAGGTTGGAATATTGAAAGAATAAACAAAGGCGCATTCTTAATTTCGGCTCTTTGTTTTGCTCTTTCAAACACTATGAACGAGCATTTTTCCATCATCAATTTCTTCAATTAATGGCATATATGTTCCCTGACCATTGTACAATTTGTCTTTATTCCATTCAACAATTCTTGTGTGTGTGTTGAATCAGAACTATCCTTAAATGGATATCTCATGTTCAGGGAATAAGTTCAAGTGCGGTGTGCTAAATTAGATATGTTTGATTAAAAAAATCATATTTCGCCATGCTGCAAACTTTACTATATCTCGTTGAGAAAGAAATAAGCAAATATTTGGTGGTTTTGTATCTAATTTTACTTTGTTGGAATTCCAGCATGACTACAATTATTTTGTTGACTACCGGTTTTGTCTGGCAGACAATGTCTGCAATCCATTTTAGCGACTAAATAACTATTCCGTTTGCGATACATAGTTGTGCGACAAAATCAATTAGCTAGTTGAATTCCTTATTTCAAAAAATTAATCTGGGACGCGGAGCAAGGAAACTGAGCGAAGCGATCTTGCTACACAGATACGAAAAATTTCCAATAGGTGTCTCTTTTTCGGACAATATGACAATCCATCCATATTTTCGGACAACTTCACTCATATTGTCTCATTTTGTGGCCAACTTCATACTAATTTACCTCCAAGTGCCAAATGTACAATAGTATGTATAATGGTAGTAGGGTTGGCCAAAAAATAAGACAATATGAGTGAAGTGGTCCGAAAATATGGATGGATTGATATATTGCCTGAAAATTGGACAAGGGTTATCCAATAGTGCTGTCTGTGTAGTATAGACTAAAGTTGAATAAATATTTAATGTGATTTTTCAATATTTCAGATAAGAGATATATCGAATTGTAAGGAGACAATAGGAGGCCAAACGAATATGGGGTATGCATTTTATGATTTTCCATTCTTCGTTGTTTAAAGATTTAATGAAAACACTTTGAATTTGTTTCCCTTTTTTTAAAACAATTAATAAAATAGAACGTATTAATCCCCCGGCTCACTAGCGTAGGAAAGACATACATCACCATTGTGGCGTTTCTAGCCATTTTGGTCGAATTTTCAAAAGGGAATCGATCAACGAGGTGCAACCATTTCCTAATTCCCTTCATAACTTCCACAAATTTTATCAGTCTTCCTCGAGCTGAAGTTGGTAGTCCGTTTCCTGTTTCCATGGTTGATCCTTTTCTTCGGGAATCGAATACAACACTTTTATGTTTTGTCCAGTCAAATTCTTCTGCTACAAATTTTTCTGCTTCTCATTTAGTCAAGTCCCTTTTCGGGCCCCAATGTTTAAATCAAAATTAAAACGACGAAAGAATTTTTTCTTGAACAAGAATTTCTTTATTTAAAGTGACAGCGATTATCGCTTCCCTTGACAATCAGATGAGAACAACAAGTTTCCACGTATTCTGAATATACCTAAATTGGAATACTCAAATAATTTGACTCAAAAATGAAATACGGTTGGTTTCTCCAAAGGTTAATTTAAAGAATGAATTTAATTTTAAAACGGTTTAGTCAACAAGTTTAAACAATAACTAAAACAATTCTTATTTATAACAATCATATTCACACGAAAATATTGACAAATTGCACATCAAAATATCTAAAAATACAATAAGTAAGTAAGTCTAAGATGTACTTCAATAAACTCACGTTGGCCCGTCTCCGTGACCGTAAATGTATTCGGCGCTGCAAGATACTTTAGTGACTTTCCAATGACTTGACCTTTCAATCGGAACTGAATTGCGTTCATATATATTTGATTCAAGTTGCCTTCGTTATCGAACAATGCTTCTGTTCGTTCGCAGACTATTTCAAACTAAAAAACTCTCCTCTTTGCTTTTTTTTAAACCTTTATTCTGCTTTGCAAAATATGTTCTCCTGCGCGCCCACACCTGGAAGAGGTCTGGTTTGAGTTCAGAGAACAGTTACTGTACCAAAAATACGTTTTCCTGCGCGCCCACACCCAGAAGAGGTGTAGTTTCAGTTCAGAAAACGGCTTTTCAAAAATAAATCACTTCAGCAAATTTATCTCACAGTCGAAGGACCAATGTTTACGAAAGCAAAGAATGAAAAAACTCTTTCTTTTTTCCTTCTCAAAAGACACTTTAATTCCTATTGCTTTCTTGCTGGATTTTTTTTATGCAGAAGAAGGTTAACTGCTTACAATGAATTCCCTCGTACAACACTGACTTAACCTACGAATTGGTCGCGTTTATATACGCTTTCAACCCGGATTTTGGCAAGTGAGCTCATCATTTGATGAACTCACTGCTTTTTCCCTATTTGGACGAGATGAACGCAATGCGAACATCTGTCCATTCAAATTTCCCTTTTTCGGCGGCGGTAAATGAGCTCATCTCGCGATGAGCACATTCACCCCGTATTTGGCGTCCTGATGCACTGCCAAAACACACCACCCGCATATGGAGTGCCAGATGGTCGCAAAAGCAATCGTCTGCCTTTCACGGCACCTTGCTTAAACTAACTTACATTCAATAAGCTTTTGTGGTGATTCTTGGAAGCATAAATGAAGGCGTTATTTGCAGCTTTCATTTGTGCTTCCAACAGCTTCCAAACACTTGACGCACGCTTTGATATAAAGGTCGTTCCGTTGCAAGTATCTGCAGAGCTGGTGCACCTTTTCTTCGTTGCATAAACAGCAAACATAACGGCATTTATTGCTTTTGCGCGGAAGCAATTTAAAGTGTTCCGAGAGAGGCGGGTCCAATTCCAGACACATTTTTTTAGCAACTTGTTTTAGCGGTTCGGCTTTCCGCTTTTTGGCAGCGGGACTTTCCGCGAATTTCTACGGATTGCCCCAAAAAGTTGAAAGTGCGCTTTTCAAACAAATCGCTATCATCTCGATCGTCAAATGCATCAAAAAAGCAAGTTTCGACCAACTTATCAAAACAGGTAGCCAGCTCTTCGCAGAAATTGTCCGAATGTATTTTTTCTTTTTTCTTGTGTTTCGTATTTAGCGCAGTGAGATATGAAATGGACGCGGAAGAAATGATGTGGCAAAGCAGTGTGTTGTAAATCTGAACCACTTGCTCGTCTGTTGTCGATGAATCAAAGGGATTACCCACTCCGCTGGGAAACATTATGTCTGTAACCTTTGCTGCAAGCAGCTCCAAACACGCGATTGTCGTGCAATCGCGAAGCGGACCCATAAATATTCGGCTGTACTTGCGTAGCCCCTCAATTGAACGGAAAAATCCGCCGATGGTTTCGGGCTGCAATTTAGTCGAATACGAGCCCGCTTCGTAAATGAATCGCGCAAAACAAGAGGTTATTCGTTCGATTAAACTTTTGAGTTATCAACAGTTGACGCGAAGTATTATCGCGTATTCCCCTCACCCTTCTTCCGATATTTGTTCAGAATGATACGGAACCTTTCGTTTCTTCGCCTGCATCGAACTTTGCCCGACGGATTTCGAAACGTCTTGGGTGTTGGAATCCATACAAGCAATTTGCTCCCGCGTTAGGAGCTTCACAATCCAGCTCCTGAAAATAAAAATCAAATAAAAAACAAGAATTAGTATCACTTTAATTGAAAAAATTGCAATAACCGCTTTAATTTTAAAAATAGCAGTGTGCTGCACACATGTGTTTGCCCCAACAGACATATTCAAACACTCATGTTTACACAATTGAAACAAAGCAAAACAGGTAAAATAAAATTCACATTACTTACTTTGACCCCTTTGGCCGTCCTCCAAAATGGAGGTATATCGGCTCCTTGGATTCGTTCAAATTGTGAACATCCTGCACCTGGAGGTTCTGGGCAAAGTGTTGTGGGAGAAAAAGGATCTGACAGTTGGATTGAAAGTCACTCTTTTCATTTTCTTAACATTTTTTGCTGAAACCAAGGTAGTACAACCTTTCCCATTCATCATTTTTTCGTATTATCTGCGCTTTATTATTCATTTTTATCTCTCTTTCCGCCAAACATTCGTATTCGGGCAGAAAAGCAAATAAATGCTCCAAAGAATTTAGGTCTAAAGACTTCAATTCGTTTATTTGCAAATTTTTTTCGTACTCAAGGAGTTGAAGCAGAAAACCATTATTCGGCCTTATTTGCCTTCGTTTGCTTAACAGAAATTTAATTGCATTGTGTAATGTGAATTTCTGTTTCAGCAAATATGCCAGGATAATGGTCGATGAACGCGAAATGCCGGCAGCACAAATAATTAAAATTTTGTCACTTTTATTTAACATAAACAGTTCATTTAATGTCTCAAAGTACATATAAATATTTTCACAATAAATATCATGCAAATTGATTGAATAGACATCGGCAGTTTGCAATTGCCCTACTTCAACCTCTTGCGGGGCTAAATTGACTATTTTCTGAAAATGTTTTATGTCAATATTAACTTGCGTCGCCTTATTAAATGCCCACGAGCCCGACGCTAAATAGATATTGTTATAAACTTTAACTATTTTCTCTTTATGCGCTAGCCCGTTATGTTTGAACAAATTCATTGTTTCTTCAAAGCGTTGTTTCATTCCCACCAAACACTCGGAATTATTCATCTTTTTTTATTGATTTTTCAAGTGACGAATTTCTTTTTTTATATTGCCCGGCAGTTGTGTGAACTGGATATTTTTTTCAATGATTTGTTTAATGCAGCTTTGCTGCAATGTTCGTAACTTGCGATTTTCTGTGCTTAATATCTGTTTTACGTATCGAGTTTGACGCCAATCCGAACTCGATAAAAGCAAAACAAAACTCAAGCATTCCAAACAATAGTTTCGCAATTTATTCAGCCCACCATATTCTTCAACAAATGGACATGCATCCGTATGAATCCACTTCCACATTTTTATGTGTTTCATTGAACGAAATTTTATTGCATAATTCGAACATGTGTGCAACGTTGGCAAAGTTACGTTTCTTCAAACAGGTTCACATTCATAGGCCTGCGGTTTTCAACAGGCATCCGTGACAAAGCAGCTGCTTCAAAGTCATTTAAACGCTTGAATACCGGACATGTTTTACAAATACAAATATCCCACTTTGAATCGCATGTCAATTGTTGTTTTTGCCTGTCGTCAGAAACTATGCCATTGTAAACGAATGGTGCACTCTTTACAAGGCCAACTGCAGACACCGGTCCAATTTGCAGTCGATGAACCCCAAATTTGATTTTATATTCTCCTTCGAATGGAAGTTGATTAACAGACAATGCACTGCCACATGTTTTTGACCCATATTTCGCTTGCGTGGACAGGCAATCATTTAATTTGGCGATGAGGATATTGTATTCATAATGTGGAAAATGTAGATGTTTGTAATTAGAAAGGTTGAACACCGTGAGGCAATAACGCCTTCTATCCACTGTTTGAAATTCGCTAATGCGGCACAGGCTTCCACTGAATGCATACTCGAATGTTTGAGCTGGCATGGGCAAATTATACAAGCGATAGCAATAGCACGGTTTCATTTTTTCGAAAATTAACGTGCGTATCGTTCTGCAGCTAAATTGTTACTAAAAATAATTTTTTTTTTTGCTTAAATATATGGGCATACATAAATTTATTCAACTAATTCACTCTCTGCAATCCATGAATTGAACTCGTCTCCGAAACCTAACCATTTCACATACAATTGCCCTTTTCTCTTGCGAATTATCTTCTCAACGAGATATTCGTTCGGATTTCGAACGTGTTGAAGTTCTTCGGCATCGATTTTGCGTAAGTTTTTGCGATTTTTATTTTCTTTAAATAAATTTCAACTAATTTTTATTTATTTTTTCCAAAGCTTCGCCCGATCCGTTTGCCCCGGGTCGTGCGTGCGGGCCGGGCAGGCGCATGTGGAATCGGTTGAAAAAGGGCTGCATTGTGATGTGCCATATGGTCAATGATATTCTCGGCATGCCCGGCGGAGCGTATGCCATTTACGCAATTCACCAACACTTTTTCGCCGAAGAAGAAAAATTCGAAGTTTTTTCGACTCATATAATTGTGCGTCGAGCAAATTGAATATAATGTGAATTGAAATAAAAAATCATTTTATGCAGTTTGCAAATCCGCTCCAATTTGGCTTATTTTTATTAAATGATTCGCATGGAATATAAAAACTGCTTACAACTATTATTCTTGGTTGGCACATTTTTTTTGATTCGACATTTTTTTTTCGGCTTTCACTTAATTGCATTAGACACATCAATCATTAAGTTCTAGTTGTTGTGTTGTACTGCCTTAAATCAGCTCGTGCGAACGGATCCATTACCCCGGCGATGCTGGTGAAAATCTGTTCCCACGTCGTCTGTGAATTGTCTACAGCTGTCCGGTAATTGTATATTCGAGAAGCACGCGTCGCAGTCGGTGAAATTTTCCGCATGAAATCGTCAGCAAGTCGAAAATATTGCCCCTCGGCCGGCTGGTACATGACGAAATCGTATTGACCGCTTCTTGGTTTCCGGGCGAATAGACAGGCTTCGTTGTCATCGTTCGCTGAAACGAAATAAATAAATTAAATCAAATTGCTGCGAAAATAAAATGAAAGAAAAAATATAATTACATATTGGAATGGCCAATGTGTGCTCGTGATGCCGATGAAAAAATGCTCGCATTGCGCGTACTCCAACGCTGAGTGTTGTACTGTACCGGTGAACATCATTATCTGTCGGCATATGGCCTTTTTTTCACCATCAAAATAGTATACATTAACGGCAATGTGGTCATTTCGCCGCATGAATTTTTCAATGTCACGGATTTCAACCGGGAATTGTATGTCGTCAAAATCCAATTCATCTTTCCATTTGGCATAGCTTGCGGCATTGTTAACTTTGTTCCGATTTTTTGCGTACACCTCTTCATGGTGTAGGGCTGATAAAATAGCCCACTTAAAACACTCATTATTCGTATTTTTCAAATTCACAATGGATCGCTTGTCTTTGAGTTGTTTTGGCAACTTTATGTGCCCCGAACCGGCTAATGGCTCGTGTTTGAAAACCTGAACACGCAGCATTTTTATGTCATCAACCGTAAAACCTGATCCTTCGATCAACACATCTTCAACTTTATCAATCAAATATTGGACAATGTCATTTTCATAATGTTCGCGTAAATCACTAGCTATATCGATTTCGCGGTTTTTTGTCGGTAAATACATATCGCGCTTTTCACTCAAAACTTCATTTTGAGCGTTTATTATAAAAGAACGCTCAAAATCAGCGATTAAACAACTCGTCGTTTTCACTAAATTGTGCTCGGCGATAGATTCAGTCACTTTCTCTTTATAAAGTTCGAAGGCCGCAATTAAAAATTCTTTAATCGTTGTGTACCCTTTATTTATCAAATCAAATTCTTGTATGCGACGCCCGAATGCCGATTTATTTTCTTTAAATTCTACGATTAAATGATTCGAATCATTAAATGTTTGAATGAAAAAAAAATGTTGGTGTTGAAGTAATCATGCTCGTTTCCACATCAGTTTGAAATCAGATTCGGCATATTCCCATCCCCGCACGATCATTCGCCCGTTGCTGGTGAATAAAAGTATATTAATTATTGGAATGAAATGGTTGCAAAAAATATTGTATATTTATTAATATACTTTTATTCACCATTTAATCGCTTTCGTATATAACGGCGGCAGCCTTTTTATTTCCACCGCGGGCCACTTTCCGTTTTTGCGATGATGGTGGTAAAACTTCTTCTTCTTCTTCACCACTGCCGTCAACAACGGCCTCATCATCATCGTCGCCGACGTCGTCGTAATCGTCGTCGTCGCAGTCGTCGTCCTCGTCGCAGTCGCCGTCGTCGTCATCATCATCATCTTCGACCTCACCGATGTGGACATGCCATTGTTTATCGAAAGAGGAAGTAGGGGCGGTCTTTGCCAGGTCAATAAAAGATTTGTGAGGGCAAATAATCAATACATGGATGAAAAGTTCGATCCTTCAAAAGAAAAATCATACCTGATGTACTTGGACGGTAAATATTGTTTCATTTACCATTATTTGTTTTATTTTGCATAGACCTAGTTTAAAATGACTGTTTTTTCACCAGTAAATAACCTTTATGGCCATGCCATGTCGAAACGACTGCCAATTGGAGGCTATGAATGGCTTAACGAGAGTGAAATCGAGCGGAAATTCAATACACCCGATGAGCGAAAAAATGCTGCAGCTATCATGGACTTGAATGACGATTCTGAGACCGGGTTCATATTCGAGGTGGATTTACATTATCCGCCCGAAATTCACGATGCGCATAATGATTACCCATTCTGTGCCGAACACGGGAGACTTGATCATATAATGAAAAATGAAAAGCTCTTATTAACATTGAATGATAAGAAAAATTACGTCATTCACCTTTCAATGTTAAAACTGGCGCTGAAACACGGTTTAATTTTGAAGAAGGTTCACAGAATTCTTCAATTTAGGCAAAAAGTTTGGTTAAAGCCCTACATAGATTTGAATACAAAGCACCGTATTCAATCCACAAGTAATTTCGACAAAGACTATTATAAAAAAATGAATAACTGCATATATGGAAAGACACTTGAGAACCTGCGTTTGCGCACGGATATTAGGCTAATTAATAGATGGACTGGGTGGAAAAAAAATGCTAGAGCATTAATCGCCCGACCCAACTTTAAAAAATGCATAATTTTCGATGAAAATTTGGTGTCGATTGAAATGCAGAAAACGCATATCATGATGAATAAACCAATAATTGTAGGAATTTGCGTTCTAAAATTATCTAAAGTAGTAATGTATTCATTTTTTTATGATTATTTAAAAAAGAAGTACGGTGAAAATGTTGCATTGGTCTACACTGGACTGCTGTTCTGGTAGTATGGTGAGCCGACCTGACGCTTTCATTCACAGGCCAATGCATTGAACTTCTGAATGGGCTAATTTCCAACAGCTAATTTCGCAAAGCCGTGATACGGCTTGCCGGCTTTCGAATCACTTAACTTTTTTAACACATTCATTTAACACTTTGCGAACGAACTTCTTACCTCAATAAATTGAAGGCAAATGACAATTTTGAATATTCGTTTATAACTTTTTCGAGTATATCGCACCATTTGTTCGACCCATGCAAACTGAAATGCATGTACAATTTACGTTTAATTGTACGAATTGCACGTTCAGAACTATATGAGGCATATGCTAAAATTCAATCAGTTTATTATAATGGAGTGGAAAATACAAATATGTTCGCCAATGATTATAAACAGTTTCAATCCGACGTGTTGTTTGCTTTTGACACATCGCGGTCGGACGAAGCATTCGTGAATGGTGCTGTTGACATTAGGTTGGAAATTAATGCAACTAAAAATTTCCCTGGGAAACAAACCTGTTTCTGGCAACAAAATCTGTTGAAAAAAAATACGTGCATTTGCT